AGCTTTTTTGAAAGCTTAAAAGATCGGGTTCGGATTTTAACATTTCTGACTGAATATCCTGAAATAAATATGAAACATTTAAATAAGCATTTCTTTGGGTTAAATTAAATATATGTAGCACAAATTAAACTCCCAACATGCATTTTTAGAAGGGAAACACGACAATGAAAGCGAGAATTGTTTTTAATATACAGAAAATCGCTATTTCAGGAAACTGATTAATTCCAAATAAAAATCAAATAAATTCCACATGTGAAAGAAAGAGAGAATGCTCGTTATTAAAATGTCATATCATATCAGGAGAATCGAATGCTATTAACGACATCTGAAGAAATAGCCGATAAAAGGTTTAGATCATTTCTTCGTTCACCTGCACTTTAATTTCAAACACAACAAAACTTAAAGTTTTTGACGTGAAACTTCGTGACTTTTATCAACTTATAAGACTCACCGTAAAACTCTCCAGAAAGTTTCTCTGAGGTCTATACTACATTTGTATCAAATTTGGTGTCGATCCGAGGTCTGGTTTGAATGTTACAGAAATATTCTACGTTGTTGTTGATGTAATTTTTTTTTTTATTAAGAAGGGGTTGGGTTTAATTATATATTTTATGCCTCTTTTAAACTAAGAATTGTAACTACTTCCACATCCTTAAGCCTGATTGTGACCTTTGGGTCAAGGTCAAAAGTCAAGGTCATTTAAAAAAAATTCTTTACTTTCTATATTTTAACCTGATACTGTAGCTGGATGCATGTCCTTAGTTTCAAATTTAACCTAAGGTCATGTTTGCCGATAATTTTCATTATTCTTTTTTTTTTCTTGGAGAGAGGGAGAGAAGGACAATAAAACGCTTTAGAAAGTTCCTGTAGGTTCTTAGCTACAACTCCGTGAAATCTTATATCTATCTGAAGTGTGACTTAAAATTAAGAGAAAGATTCCACATTGCTCTCGGGGTGAATTTTTTCTTTCAATTTTTTCCCCAAAAAATTTGTAATTTCTACATTTTCAGAGAAAGATGATAAAACTCTGCAGGAAGTTACTTTGGCGTCTTAGCTACAGTTCTCTAAAGTTTTGTGTCGATCCGATGTGTGAATTCAATTTTACAAAGATATTCCATGTTGCAACTGCTGTGATTTTTTTTTTTTCGAAAAAGGGGGGGGGGGGGGCTAATATAATAATCATTAGCCTGTTACAAACTGGGAGTTGTAATTAACTCTCCACTTCCTCAGTAAACATTCTGACCTTCATGTCAAGGTCATAGGTCAAGGTCAAAGTTCAAGGTCAAAGGTCAAGGTCATACAGGCAGGTGGAAAGATCCACTAAACAGAGGTATTTCAAGAGATTTCGCTCAGAAAGGTTAAAGAAGTTAATTATTACTAGACGAGCTTGTTGCAAAGCAACAAATAAGTCTTCCGTCTAAATTTTAAGGAGATGAGATCGAGTTCGGGAGACATCTACGGTCATATGAGCAAGAATGAGCCATTTACCATTACTTCCGGTGTGACCGGAAGTGACGTCATTTTGACGACTTTTGATGATCTCCTTAGCTGCTACTTGTCGTTTTGAACAACTTTGCTTCTATGATGCTATACAAATTCTCAATACTTTTTGAGTTATCAGGAAAACACTTTTGGCCCCTCTAGCTCCCTGATTTTAGGGGCCAGCCCCTTATTGTTGGTATCTTTTGAAAGATCGTATCATTCTACACAACTTTTGCTCTATATGTTTTAACAAAATATTTACAGGTAAAAAGATATTGTAGAAAAAGTGTTAGAAATTTTAAAAATCCCGATAGGACTTTTTTCGGGCCATAGCGAACGACGAAGTACGGCACTTTCGGGGAAAAAGAAATGCGTATGTCACATCTACACATAATGCTCTATCATCGCTGAAAAATTTCATGCTTCTACCAGGAAGCCCTTTTGGGGAAACTGCCGGACAAAGTGACCCTCCGAAAATCACTAAATCGCGGAAAGCTCGGAACCGGAAGTGACGTCATCAAAACAAAAAAATATACATCTAGATTTTTTAATCTTCTATCAGACCTGTAAGTTTCATGAAAATCGAGCGAGCCGTTTCCGAGAACTCGCGTGCACAAAATCGGTAAGAAAAAAAACAATAATAATAATAACAAAAAATAGTGGAAAAGAAACCTAAGAAAAACAAGAAGGTCTTCCGCTGAAGACGAAAGACCTTAATAATAATAAGAATAAGAAACAGAGTAAAAACAATATGTTCCCAAACTCCGTTTGGGGAACATAATAATGAAGGTTTTTTTTTACAATTTGAGTAGTTGATACAATAATTAGATATTACTTTTGTTGGAACTTGTAGTTTAGTGTAATATATTTATGGAACAAACTGAGTTATAACAAATAATGAAAGCTTATTACGATTCGAATGATCGACACCAGAAGTGTTTTTTTTTTTTTATCAAAAGCTGAAATGGATAATAAATGAACGTATTTAAACAGTTTGTTTTATTAATAAAAAAAAATCATTTATTTTTATAAACAATAACAAATACACCTGTTACAGCAAAAGTGTGTATTTAATTTTTAAAAAGGACATTTTTAAAATATACACTGTACCTACAAGATTAACACAAATTAAAACTGCTAAGGTACTATGAAACATAAAGACAATTTTTGAGCAACATTGACCTCCTATAAGTAACAGCTTACAATGTTGTTAACTACATATTGTTTTAGTTTTAAATTTTTATACGTTTACTTCATAAATCAAGATAAGAATTTTTTGAGTATATCTCTTGTCTGTAAGAGAACATTCACATGGGACTTCTTGCAAGAATGATGAAAAATTGGTAGGGAATCCAGTGGAAATGTACATGTAAATAAAATAATATGCTTGCATCGAGAATTAACGTTACAGGTTAAATCTATTATCAAAGAGAGAAAAAGTTCTGCATCGAAGAAATGAATGGTCTAAAATTACAACATATAGGCCATAAGGGGGTAATCGGCACCTGTGTGTTATTTCGTCTAATCAAAAAAAAAAACACAAGGTTTTTTTTAAAGTTTAATTGTGCTAAAAAGTGCATCAGGCCTGTGAGAACTGGGGTATATATGTACTACACACCAGAAAACAAAGCTGGTTGTGTCCGTCAACATCTTCGCTTGCCAATGTCTCCAGTCCACTCCGCACCCCATAAATGCGGAGTGGACTGGAAACCCTTGGCTAGCGAAGAAGCTCCTTAAAAATTGTCTGATGACGATGACTTTTTTTTCATACTTGTCTATAATTATTTGTTTGTCCCCCCCCCCCCAACAAAAATTAAAAAAAAACAAACACTGAAACTATGTACCTGTGTATCTATAAAAACTGTTCACCAACTGTTAAATATGATGTTTTGCAAAAACTTTGACAATGCTGAACAATTCAACGACGAAAAATTGGACGTACAAAAAATTTCAGTAGTCCAATGGAAATTTGTGATATTTTCAGACAAAGCACAAGATATGTAACTATTTTATATTTTTAACTAAAGAAAATAAAAATTAAAAAAAATCACCCATATAGAACTAGCTCCGGATGCGTAAAAAATATATTTTTTTAAAATATATACTGATACTGAAAACATATTGTTTGTAGCCGGGACGATATTTGACGGAAAATCATTTATTAACAATTCAAGTTATCGTAGATTTAAGCACCCTGCTGAATGTTCTAAATAAAAACTTGCCATATATGCCGTTTTTTGCCAGCACGCTAAAAACAATACAAAGCAAAATGTAAGGATACTTTTAATCTAAGAAAAAGAAAAGAACACAAAGCATAAGGAAGAGAAAAGGCATGAAAACAACACATAAAGAAAATAAATGGAAAGAAAGAAACTAAAGGACTGATTGTTATTTTATGTCCCTTGCGAGAATTTTCACTAATATGAGACGTACAAAGAACATACGAATTAAGACAAACATGTCTAAAAATCATTTCATTGGTATTGATTTATTATGATACAATTAATGGGTCATTTGAAAGCAGATAAACATGAATTTCTTCTTTTTTAATTTTTTTATCTTGTTTTTCTGCACTCTAGACCGGATCGATATTTTATGTGTCATTCTTAAAAATGTTACATTTTATGATATAAATGCAATTATCCACAATTAAATTACGAGAAAACTAACCAGAAGTCATATTAATTTTTTTCACATAGATTTATTTCAAATCAATTCTGTGTTAAATTACCAAAGGGAAAACAATTTCGTCTGCACCATTTAAAAGTTATTGATATTTTTTAAAAAAAAGTCTTGCCTCAAAACGAGCCAAAAACCAGTTTTCCCTATATACATGTAATTCAATAGAATAAAGTTGAAAATGTTACGACAAGAATGGCACGTTTGGTAATTATTTAAATTAAAACAACGCAGACGAATTTTATAAAATTTTCAGAGAATGTAAATTGAAGGTAGAGGATTCATATAACTAATTTTCATGGTATGTTTTTGGGCACTTTTAAAAGGTCTGCAAACCTGCGACCTACGTTAAATCATGTCTCTGCTGTTCTTTAGATTTCCCCTATATATTTCTGTGTAAAACTTCTATCACATAAGTCTGTCGAGCAAAAAATTCTCAATATATCTTGAGCAGACTATATCTTCTTGTGCCCAGAATAGTTTGACACTATCTTTGACTGTGTAACATCAAAATCAATTGGGATCATCCATTCTTCTGGGGACAACAGTGTACCAAGTTTTGATGTTTGTCAAGGAAAGAGTTCTCTAAATATGAAGTGGACATCACATGGTCTTAGGACTGACCCACACACACACAAGCAAAGCAACATGCTCCCTTCTTTCAAAAGGTAACAATTTTTTTTTTTAAATGCAATTCATGAAAGCTTAGTTCTTACAACTCACAAGCAAAACTAGAAGTACATTACTGCAATGCAAAATTTTTGGAATGAGCTATGTCTTTACTTTGTTGGTTGTAATACCTTAAGATAAAATGGAATCAACGAATAGTGTGAAATTACCTGGTTGTGGGTAACACCTTGAAGACTTGGATCCGTATGTGATGAACCCTGAAGGACATTTGATGCAATATTGTGAGATAGTTCTGTTTGTGTAGAAATCTTTTGGACATTCCGAACAATTCCCAGAAGTTCTGTCATACTCTGTGCCATCCTCACAAGATACTGTTCAAAAGTGATAAAGATACAAGACTGATCTCTCCATTTACTATTCCAGATTACAACACATACAGAAATATATACATGCAAAACCAAGGGTCTCTATCAAAACTTAAATTAGTTACTAGCAGAATTTAACTTTGGTCTTAGTCGTAAGTTCTTTTGTAAAATGGGCCACTGGTTACTATGCATAAGCAGTCAAAACCTTAGAATAATTTATATTAGTAAAATAAACACAACTGCTCACTACGCTGTGCTTCAAGCATTGCTATAACTGAGTTACCTTTTTACCTAGATTCAAACCTAATGTGATACTTGCAAACCCCAAAATATAGCCTAATGAGCTATCCAGCAAGCCTTTGAAAATTCTGTAATTTGCAGTAATGATATTCAACAACCAGAAGTTTATGCTGAGACAAGCCACACCAGTTTTAACTGATAATTATCTGAAGGAAAAAGTTGTATTTGAGCTTGTAACATTTCTGTTTCAAGTTACACATTGATATATAATTAAGTTTTTTAAAATGTTTTTTTAATAACCAAGCTGAAACGCAAACTGTAGGAGGAGTATTTAGAATGTGAATTTCATGGATTTCTGTTTTTTTAAAACCATGACAACATCACTCATTGAAATCAACCAGAAGTTTATAATGATACTAGCTCTACGTACTGCATTGTTTTGACTTCGCTAATTTCTGGTTGGTTATGGCTCTACCACTGTGACATTATATATAAATGATAGACAGTTCTGTAATATATTACTTTCCCAACTTATTCTTAATAAAAAGCAATACAAAATCAACTCTCTTTTCAATGTCTGAAACTGGGTTTGACAACAAAAATTTTGACCTACATGATAGTCATTTACACAGGTAACTCTGTGACACTGTTACATTCCTGTAATGAGTCTTTATCTCATCTTAGAAAATAACTTTATTTGACTTAGAAAATTGAATGCTACTGAAAAAGACAATAATATTTGCTAGTCTTGTTCAATTATTTACCAATACAGTAGCTCTCTGAAGTTGCTCCTGTTGTTTCTGTGGTGTCTTTATTTGCAGGGCACATTTTACAGGAAGTCTGTGATTTCTGATCCTGGAATGTTCCAACTGGACACTTTTCGCATCCAGCCCCAGATAACCGATATGTTCCCGGCAAACAGTCAGCTGTAAAAAGAAAAAAACGCTTTCATTATAATTATTTAAAGATATCAATTTTAATATCCCCCACTTGAAAAGCAGTGTATAGTGATGGTGTGTGTGTGTGTGTGTGTGTCCGTCCCTCTAGCTGTATGTCCATCCGTTACACTTTGGGGTACCCTTCTCTTATCCACAACTCCTCTTATATCAATGAGACTTTCACAGAATCTTTATTACATAGTGACCTCCTATTTTTCTATTCGATCAGACACTTATGTCAGGTCTCCCTTCGCAAAAGACTGACTTTGCCATTATAAACATATGGGGGGTTGGGGGGTAATCATTTTGTGAGCTCAGTGCTCACAGTTTCTTTAGTTAAAAATAAATTTCTTCATGTCAAAGACTTTTTCCACATTCAGCTGTAAAAACCCCCCACTTTTTTTGGAATGAATTTAATAGCTACCCAAGTTATACTGTATAACCTGGGCTGGGACAGTTATGCTTTAAAAACCAAGAAGTCGAAAAGAAAAATATGTTAAATTGAATTTATACTTACTTAAATTGCATGCTCCACTGGAGACAGAGCCTAAGACAAGTGTAGTTTTACCATCAGGGCACTTGGTACATGGTTCACTGTTGCCAATTGCAGACTTGTAATACCCTAGAGCACACTTTCCACAAGTTTTATCAGTAGAATTAAATTCCTCTCCTTGTTGGCAAATGGCTAAAAAAAAGAAAAAAAAAGAAAAAAAAGGAGATATTACAAATTTCAATCTCAAAATCACATAGCTACAATGTCACACATTATCATTACAGCCTTTGCCAATGCATTACTAATTAACAGACAGGTGACAGACAATAGGGGAATAAAAAAAATAACCAAAGAAAATGTTATGAACAGTTTAATTCAGGATATTTTGTCCCCAACTTAAAGAAAAAAAGAAAAGGTTGGAAGATCTTAAAGAAGTGTTGAGGAGAAAAACAAGAGGCCCAGGGGCCGCTCACCTGAGCACTGTGGCTAGGAAAAAAGGAAAAATCAGTTTAGTATTGTAAAGCTTAAATGCACAAGTGGTCCCAACCTACCCCTAAAAGGGAGTTGGGAGGGAGGAATGTTTTGAACAAAATTAAATCTACACTAATTAAGGATGCTTACGTAATTTTTTGACTGTGACTTTTTTCTCTACAAGTTTGAACTTTCATTGTGGCCCCACTCTACCCCTGGAGATCATGATTTGAACAAATTTGAATCTACACTATCTGAGGATGCTTCCATATAAATTTGACCAATCATGGCTTTGCTGATCATGAGAAGAAGATTTTTAAAGATTTTTACTATATATTCCTACGTAAAACTTTGATCGTTCATTGTGGCCCCACCCTACCCCTGGGGGTCATGATTTGAACAAACTTGAATCTACACCACCTGAGGATGCTTCCAAATAAATATGACCAATCATAGCTTTGCTGTTCTTGAGAAGATTTTTGAAGATTTGTCCCATATACTCTATGAAAACTTTGATCGTTCATTATGGCCCCACCCTACCCCCGGGGTCATGATTTGAACAAATTTGAATCTACACCACCTGCAGATGCTTCCATATAAATTTGACCAATCATGGCTTTGCTGATCATGAGAAGAAGATGTTTGAAGATTTTTCCTATATACTCCTATGTTAAACTTTGATCGTCCATTGTGGCCCCACCCTACCCCCGGGGGTCATGATTTGAACAAAATTGAATCTACACCACCTGAGGATGCTTCCAAATAAATATGACCAATCATAGCTTTGCTGTTCTTGAGAAGATTTTTGAAGATTTTTCCTATATACTCTATGAAAACTTTGATCGTTCATTATGGCCCCACCCTACCCCCGGGGTCATGATTTGAACAAATTTGAATCTACACCACCTGCAGATGCTTCCATATAAATTTGACCAATCATGGCTTTGCTGATCATGAGAAGAAGATGTTTGAAGATTTTTCCTATATACTCCTATGTTAAACTTTGATTGTCCATTGTGGCCCCACCCTACCCCCGGGGGTCATGATTTGAACAAAATTGAATCTACACCACCTGAGGATGCTTCCAAATAAATATGACCAATCATAGCTTTGCTGTTCTTGAGAAGATTTTTGAAGATTTTTCCTATATACTCTATGAAAACTTTGATCATTCATTGTGGCCCCACCCTACCCCCGGGGGTCATGATTTGAACAAATTTGAATCTACACCACCTGCAGATGCTTCCATATAAATATGACCAATCATGGCTTTGCTGATCATGAGAAGAAGATGTTTGAAGATTTTTCCTATATACTCCTATGTTAAACTTTGATAGTCCATTGTGGCCCCACCCTACCCCCGGGGGTCATGATTTGAACAAAATCGAATCTACACCACCTGAGGATGCTTCCAAATAAATATAACCAATCATTGCTTTGCTATTTTTGAGAAGAAGATTTTTGAAGATTTTTCCTATATATTCCTATGTAAAACTTTGATCGTCCATTGTGACCCCACCCTACCCCCGGGGGTCATGATTTGAATCTACACTACTTGACAATAATTCCACATGAGTTTCATCTTTCCTGGCCTATTGGTTCTTGACAAGAAGATTTTTCAATAATGCCATTAATTTTTTGCTATTTCGTAATTATCTCCCCTTGGAGGAGGACGTGGCCCTTCATTTGAACAAACTTGAATCCCCTTTATCCAAGGATACTTTGTGCCAAGTTTGATTGAAATTGGCCCAGTAGTTCTGGAGAAGAAGATGAAAATGTGAAAAGTTTACGACAACAACGACGCCGACAGACAATGGACAAATTTTGATCAGAAAAGCTCACTTGAGCCTTTGGCTCAGGTGAGCTAAAAAAGGTCCACCAAGACCTTTCAGCTTTTGGCCTTAAAGCCAATAGGGGCTTTTTTTTTAATTTAAAGAAATTCATGACCTTAAGTTTCACTGTAAAAACTAATTAGGAACTAAAGTTTTCATCTGAAAATTATGTTTGCTATATATGAATTTCTGACCTTGGTCCTTCACCTCTTGACCTCAAAATCTAACTTATATCAACCAATAGTATCCACTGCAAAACCACAAAGAGAACCAGAGTTATCACCAAGAAATCACTTAACATATTTTCTTTTTTTTTTTTACCAAAAACTTTTGACCTCAAAATGAAAATGATCTTCTTTTAGAAAGAAGGATATATAATATAAAACTTCATTGAAAAAAATATTAAGTGATCACTTGGAACCATTTTTTCTATGTAAAATTTCTGACCTTGACCTAAAAATCAATAGGGGTCTTCTTTTGGCCATAGGGAGTTGTGATGTAAAATTTCAATGGAAAGGCTTGAAGGCTTTTTGTAGATAACATCTGGTAATGAAAGTTCCACACTGACAGATCAAGAATGTCTGAATTTCAGACCTTGACCTATTAACCTCAAAATCAATAGGTGTCTTTTCTATGCATAGGGAGTTGTAATATAACATTTCATTTCAAATGCTCAAAGGATTTTTGAGATGTCATCTGGAAATGAAAGTGTTAAAGATGGACAGGCAGACAGACAGACCCATAATATATATCCTCCATATTCAGTGAAGCGGGGGGGGGGGGGGGGGGCAACAAAATTTAATTTTTGCAGTTGGATATGCATATGCATATTATCAAAGGACTATATTCAGTAATGACCAATATCTGCCCCCAAAATCAAATCTATAATAATGTTCTCAACCAGGAGGTATCTGCGGACTTAAGAGCATTACCTGTTTTCATCAGCCATGATGTCATGTTAGATCTGACGTCAAAAAGATGATGTAAATTCAAATTTTGAATAATTTTGAGAGAAAAGGGTTATTTTATGTTGGTATTTCGATTAAAAATCATCAAGCACAGGTCTGCTCCAGCTCACCTTTTGATATAATGTGTAGAATTTTATTATCAATCAAACTTGTGAGTATTGTTCTGGGGCAAGCTTTTGCCAAGTTGATTCTTTACTCAAAATTGAACAAATTTTGTCCATTTTGTCCTTTATCTTAAAAATATCCGAAAATTCTAATAGTTAGTGACGTCACAGAAACAAACATTGACAATAATCTAACTTTCAAACTATAATAATTTTATCAATTAATAATTTTCATACAATATAAATACAATTTCGGACATTTCTAGAGATTTTTAAAATTTCCCTTTTATGGGGGCAAAAATATGCTTTTACTGCATATACTCCTTTTGTTGCTTTTGGAGCTAAATTAATGCTTCTCTTTCAATACCAATGTAATAAGTATCACTCTACAACAATCTGACTTTATTTTCTAAGGAAGAGCTATTGAAGCAAGAAGCCAAAATTTGTAGCAGCTTATACAAGAGTGTACGTACGGACACAGTCTGCCTGATTTACAGTCCCCTCTTGTTCTGTTGTCTGCATTGCTGAACACTGCTTACAGTCACTTTGTCCTCTATCTGGCTGGTAGTATCCAACGGGACACTTCATGCAGGTGTTAGTACTACTGTTTCTTTTTTCTCCTGCTTCACATACAACTACAAAATATAATGAACAATCTACCTCCATCAGTATGTATTCAAACTGTTTCAATTATCCACATAGACTTTTTATGATTAAAAGCAAATTATAAAAAACAAAAACAAAAAGCACACAAATTTAAAAATTGGCTACTTTTGTTTAAGAAATATAAAATACAACATATTGTTTAAAAAAAAATCCTATTAAATTTTTTTTTAAAGTTAAGAGTACCTATGATGTTGGTTGGGTCTTTCTGTGCTAATTACCTGCCAGTGGGCAAACTAAACTTTCTACAACTTTTTCTCTAAGTGTCATAGACTCAGGCATAGACTATTCCAACCAAGTTTATAGGAGTATAACTTGGGTTACTATTAAATTCATCCCTAACAATTTAATCTTTTTATCATTAAGTGAAGAAAAACAGCAAGTCATATTGTGACATAGGCATCACAAGTTATATTATATAATCTAAACTCTTCATCCAATCAATCTTACCTATGGAACAGTTTGATGCTAATGTGGATCCCCTAGAGGGAGTGGTGGAATTGCGACTACAGGCTGTACAGTTGTCATTTCCTGTAGCACTCTTATAGTAACCTATCATACAATCATCACATTGTCCAGTAGAATTTATGTATTTCCCAGGAATGCAGTATGCTGTGAAAAAAAATCAGTTTATTATTAAATGCAAGGGGTGTCAAATTAAGTTTAATTATCTAACCTCTAATTACTCTAGTATTACTATAATAACTCTAGTACATAAAATGAATGTCTATTCTCCTTGAAGGGAAAGTGTGATCTTACCATTACAAAATAATGCTATTGAGAAACATTTACTTGACCAAATAACCATGGCTGCTTCATACCCTTTGTGCACATTTTAATCTTCTAACATTTTTTATCATTTTAAACTTATGGCAAAGACAAGAATCTAAAACCTTTGACCTTGACATTGTAAACACCTTGTAATGCAAGGTCTTGTCCAAATTACCCTGGGTCAGGTCAGGACAAATCCTTGCGTTACGGGGTATCTTTGTCTCAAGTATTACTTTTAAATATTTAACAATTTCACAAATGCTAGGAAAACAATTTCATGCTTCTCCAGCCTGTGACTTTGTCCAGGGTCAAGATATACCTTTGGTCACAGATAACCTTTGTATCAAGTACATGTATGAACCTCTTTTGTCTATCAGTTTTTGAGTTATGCACAGACAAGAATATTTCACTTTCTTGTTTCTGTCACAGGGGTTTCTTACTATGAAATATTTAACAAGAGGTCCATGGGTCACAATGTTCATACCTGAGTCACTTTAACTCTGTTCTTATTTATTGGCAGATTTTCCCCATATATTCCTATGTAAACTTTGACAACATAGTATGGCCCCACCCTATAAAAGGGAACTTGAGTTGAACAAACTTGAATCTACACTAACTGATGATGCTTCAATACAAATGTAACTAATCATGGCTTTGCTTATCTTGAGATTTTTAAATACTTTTCTTCTGTATTCCTATGTAAAACTTTGATGTTCATAGTGGCCTAACCCTACATCCTACACCAAGGGGTCATTAATTTAACGAACTTTAATTTATGCTACCTGATGATGCTTCCATATAAATATGACTAATCATAGCTTTGCTGTTCATGAGAAGAAAATCATGATCAGATTTTTTTTCTTTGTATCCCTATGCAAACATTCATTCGATCATCCATTGTGGCCCACCCTATCCCTGGGTCTCAAAGGGTTGAACAAAGGATGATGTGCCAAAACTACTATCTGGGGCCCCTTTTTCTACAATGAATAATATTTATTCTACCGGTACAACGATTTTGATAGTTTTCAAACATGAGTGAATAAATATGACGTCTTTTGAATAGTTTCAATACTTGTGGCATATTATAATTATGAAAATTATAGCATTATCTATGATTTTTTAGACCCTATGACAGCAAAATTCGATCTGGTTTGTGACAATGTACGTGTTCTATTATCAATAGAGAACAGGCGTGTCTTAGTACAATAGAGGGATATGCAAGTCCAAGAAATATACCTTATATGGCTATTGTTATTATTTCGCCCACAGTCGCTTACCGAGAACAATTGTCCTATCTGATGACTGTACGACGCGAAACGTGCTGGTTTACTACTGTTTACATTTTATCACAGACACTTGGTTTATGTCAATTTACACATTATCTCTACTACTTTCAAAAATTCGTGTCTAATCTGTAACTGAAATGTATAACAAGAGGCCCATGGGCCACATCTCTCACCTGAGTAACTTTGGCCATACTGTTCATTACCAGACTTCCCCCCTTGTAATACCTATTGTGGCCCCGCCCTACCCCCATGGGCCATGATTTGAACAATTTAGAATCTACACTACCCCAGGATGCTTCCACATAAGTTTAAGTTTTTCTGGTTCAGTGGTTCTTGAGAAGATTTTTCAAGATTTTTCCTATATATTTCAATGTAAAACTTGGATTCCCTATTGTGCCCCCCCCATCCCCGGGGTCATGATTTGAACAATTTAGAGTATACACTACTTGAGGATGCTTCCACATAAGTTTCAGCTATTCTGGCTCAGTGGTTCTTGAAAAGAAGATTTTTTAAAGATTTTTCCTATATATTTCAATGTAAAACTTGTATTCCCTATTGTGGCCCCGCCCTACCCCGGGGGTCATGATTTGAACAATTTAGAATCTACCCTACACCAGGATGCTTCCACATAAGTTTCAGCTTTTCTGGTTCAGTGGTTCTTGAGAAGAAGATTTTTAAAGATTTTTCCTACATATTTCAATGTAAAACTTGTATTCCCTATTGTGGCCCCGCCCTACCCCCGGGGGTCATGATTTGAACAATTTAGAATCTACCCTACCCCAGAATGCTTCCACATAAGTTTCAGCTTTTCTGGCTCAGTGGTTCTTGAGAAGAAGATTTTTAAAGATTTTTCCTATATATTTCAATGTAAAACTTGGATTCCCTATTGTGGCCCCGCCCTACCCCCGGGGGTCATGATTTGAACAATTTAGAATCTACACTACCCCAGAATGCTTCCACATAAGTTTCAGCTTTTCTGGCTCAGTGGTTCTTGAGAAGAAGATTTTTAAAGATTTTTCCTATATATTTCAATGTAAAACTTGGATTCCCTATTGTGGCCCCGCCCTACCCCCGGGGGTCATGATTTGAACAATTTAGAATCTACACTACCCCAGGATGCTTCCACATAAGTTTCAGCTTTTCTGGCTCAGTGGTTCTTGAGAAGAAGATTTTTAAAGATTTTTCCTATATATTTCAATGTAAAACTTGGATTCCCTATTGTAGCCCCGCCCTACCCCCGGGGGTCATGATTTTAACAATTTAGAATCTACTCTATCCCAGGATGCTTTCATATAAGTTTCAGCTTTTCTGGCCCAGTGGTTCTTGAGAAGAAGATTTTTTTATGACCCCACCCTATTTTTGTCTTTTCTTGATTATCTCCCCTTGTAAGGGGACATGGCCCTTTATTTTAACAATTTAAACTCCCCTTCCCCCAAGGATACTTTGTACCAAGTTTGGTTAAAATTGGCCCAGTGGTTCTTGAGAAGAAGTTGAAAATGTGGAAAGTTTACAGACGGACGGACAGACGGACGGACGACGGACAACGGGTGATCAGAAAAGCTCACTTGAGCTTTCAGCTCAGGTGAGCTAAAAAGTGTCAATCGGAAAACAAGTAAAAAAAAAAAATTTCAAGCATAAAATTGTGGTACTCACTCGTAATGCAACTCATTTAGCTGATTGGTTGGTTAGAAAGTCACGCCAGTGCCTCAATTAGCATATGAATTTATTCTTAAAAAATAGTTTCATCGATCTGTTCATAATGGGAAAGGCCAGCTAGATTTTACAATTTTTTAAACACATGTGAGCGCATTTAGGTACATTTTTCTCCTTTCGCATAAAGGTAGATTTCAATAAAATACAGTGACTAGCCAAAGGAGAAAAATGTACCTACTTGTGCTCATATATTTTAAGGGCTTCAAAGAGTGGGGCGGGGCCAAAATTCAATGGATGAAAACATGGTACCCCTACTCAAAATAAAGACATATATCTTCCAAATAATGTTTCTATTTTCGGTAAAAGTAGTATTCCATGAGGGTACTTAGGGTACACATATCAATAAAGTGCATGCAAAAATAAGAGTAAAATTTAGTTATTTAATTTTTGTCAATTTACCGGGGGCCGTCTGGCACATCATCCTTTAATAACTTTACCTGAGGATGTTTCCATATAAATGTGACAAACTATGGCCTTGCTGTTGTTGAGAGGGTTTTCAAACATTTTTCATATGTATTCCTATGCAAACCTTTGACCACCCATTGTTGCCCCACACTACCCCTGGGTCTCATGAGTAGAACAAACTTTAATCTACACTTCCTGAGAATGATTCTATATACTGTATACAGGGAAATTTTTGCCCCCCGTTTTTCTTTCGCCCCTTTCGCCCTACTCACAAGTGGGCGAATTTAAAATGGGGCAAGTTCAAAGAACACAGTATAATTTCTTAAAAAGAACTGTGACTGGGCGAATTTAAAATGGGCAAAATTGTTTGCAAGAGTTAAAGGGTGAAAATAACCCTGTATACAGTAAATATAATAAAGAATGGTTTTGCTGTTCTTAAGCAGAGGATTTTAAACATTTTTTCCTATGTATTACTATGCAAAGCTTTGATCAGACATTCTTGCCCCACCCTAGCTCTGGGGCTCATGAGTTGAACAAACTTTATAATGTTCACTTCTTGAGAATGCATCAATAAATGATAAAGCATGGCTTTGCTGTTTGAGAAGAAGACTTTTTAAAAGTTTTTCTATATATTTCTATGTAATACTTTGATTTCCCATAATGGCCCATCCCTACCCCCAGGGGTTATGATCTGAGCAAATTTGAATGTACATTACCTGAGGATGCCTCCATATAAATAAGATTAACCATGACCTTACTGTTCTTGAGAAAAAGACATTTTTTCAGATTTTTCCTATGTATTCCTATGTTAAACTTAGATTGCCCATCATGGCCCCACCCTACCTCCAGGGGTAATGATTTGAACAAATCTGAAGGATGATTCTATATAAATATGACTGATCATGGCTTTGCTGTTCTAGAGAAAAAAAATGTATAGAGTTTTCCAATATAAAACTTTGCCTGCCCATTGTGGCCCCATCCTACCTTGGGGGGGGGGGGGGGGGGGGGGGGGGGAGGGTGTCATGAACTAACTTGAATACAGATATGTAAAGATTTTATATAAGTTTCATAATTTCTGGTCCAGAGAAATTGAAAGAGGACATGGCCCTTCATTTGAACAAACTTGAATCCCCTTCACCTAAGGATTCTTTGAGGCAAGTTTGGATGAAATTGGCACAGTCATTTTTGCAAAGAAGTCGAAAATGTGAAAAGTTTACGACAATGCCAACAAAGACAATGGACATTTTGATTAGAAAATCTCACACAAAGTTGAAAAGTTTGAGATTAAAAAATGATCTACACACAACACATGAGGATGAAGAGATTGTGATATGTGTCTTTTGAGTGGCTAAGTAATCACAGAAAAACAGACATACGATCACTACAGTCATTTGGACTAACTGAAGCTTCATTGGTTGTAAGAAATCCATCAGGACATCTGGTACAGATCATGTTTCCTCTGTCTGCCTTGTAATATCCCTTACTGCATGGAATACAGCTGTTTTGATGAAAGTAGAAGCCCATGTCACAGAACACTGAAATTGTATGTTGGAAAGATGCTTATAATTATATTTAATCAAAAGATCAATTGGCTGATTTTCAAGATTATATCACATCAAATCATCAAAACTTGAATGCCATGTTTTCATATTAATTTAAAACAACTACAACGTTAAATGCTTTTATAAGTACTGGATAGGGAAAAACTATAAGATTTTGGAAGTATATATGTAGACCATGTTGGTAGACAGGTTCAATATACATAATATAAAGTCAATTGTATAGGTGTTAACAAATATTTCAATTTTTATGTTGTATATATATAAGAAAACCTGAAATAAAGTCGTAATAATTTATAAACATTTACAAATATTTAGTAACTTTACATTTTAATACAAATATAATAGGAAGTATATATATATATATAATAAATATATTTACAAAGAACCACTATATATAAAAATCAGCTATTCAATATACGTCTATTCCCATTAAGAGTGCATGAAAATAATTTAGTAGTGTAAAAGTTAGTTAAATGTTATGTAAAGAAATACATGCAGAACTGGTCAAAATGGAAATGATCAAATACAACAGCCCTAGTTAACATAAACACTCACACATGGACCTTCATGCATGGACAACACAGACGTTACAAACACACACAACAGATATAAAACATGAAACTGAAACATTTCACTACATACACTGCATGGTTACATATATTTGGCTAAAATTTTGTTTTTTGTTTTTGTTTTTTAAGAAAGCATATACATTTTGTACAAAGAAGGACTTTTCATTCATCCTAATCTTAAAATATGAATTGAAATTCAGGTAATAAACTTCTCATAATAAATATTCTAGGGAAAAAAACCCCACATACATTTGTCACAGGCAGTGTGTTGGTCATTGGATGTATAATTGCCAGTACATTCAGTACATGTGCTGATTCCTGCTGAGCTTTTGGCATATCCCTCCTTACATGGATTACATTCTGTTTGTCCCTCTTTCCCAGCAGGACAGAAAACTGTCAAGAACATAAATGTATAATAATGTATGAAACAAGAGTATATTGTACAACTTCAACTTTAATGTTTCCTCAATGAATAAAATAATATAAAGAATACATGTATTATGATTTGCCCTGACTCACTCTGACAATCCTTTTCACTAGTTGCTCCTGTTGCACTAGTATTCAGGTCTGGTCCACACGCATTACAGATAGCTTGGTGACGGTTTGGCTGGTATGTTCCAAAATCACAAGGGAGACAATTACTACCACTAATGTATGATCCAGGACTACAATCCACTGAAGATAAACAAGTCAATACATAGTATATCAGTCATTTAATTCCTATCTTTTTGCAATTTAGTCCAATTATTTAATATGCTATTCAATTAATTCAATACATACAAAGAGTGCAGTTATCTTCAGATATCATTCCAGGACCAGTGGTGGTATAATTAACTCGACACACAGTGCATCCCTCAAATTTCATGGTGAAATTCCCATTGTTCCAGGTTCCTTTGGGACAAGCTTCACAGGCACTTGATGTTGAATTATAAAACTGTCCTCGGGAACACACAGCTGTAAAAATTTATGCGAACTTTTACACACATTATTGGTTTGAATACAAAAAAGACTAACAAACTCATGCATTTTATCTACAATACATGCATATCTTAAAAAATTAAATTTTTTTATTGATTAACACTATCATTAACTAGCTGCAAAGAACACAATCCCAGCTGTAAAATTTATGACTTACGAAGGCAATCTGAGGAGCTGTTGGACATTTTCTGTTTTGTGCCAGTAGAAGATGGGCATGTTTTACACTTGTCTTTTGATGTTGGTACATCTACGGACTGGTAGTAATCTATTTCACAGTCAACACAACCACCACTACTTCCTATCTCTTGGCCACTGCTACAAATATCTGTCAATGAAAAACATTTAGTATGTTATACAGCAAAATCACAATAATATCAACTAAAAATAATATGCACAATCTAAAGAAAAGAAATATCATGGATCCTTAAATCCTGAGATTTGAAAAAAATAGTCTCTATGGAACATATATAACAACAACATTCCAAAGATTGTTGATATAAATATCTTTCAAGACTTGCATTAATTATAAATGCATGTACTCACTAATAGAACAGTCATTGATGCTGGTGGTTTTCATGCTTTCTGTTGTGTTACCAGATGGACAAGCAGAACATTTACTGAACACATTTGTATTGTTCTTATATTGGCCTCGTGGACATGATCGACAGGTTTCATTTGCTGCAGCCAAGACTTCATATCCCGCAGGACAATAAACTAAAAGTACATAACAGTTCAACTATTTTTAACAAGGAATCCTGAAAGATGAACATAACTTGATGACAAAGAAAAGACAAGTCAAAGAAATAACATCTTCATTATTGTGATCAGACCTATCAACATTACCTCAGTGCATTAAAAGAATAACTGAACAGAAGCAAACACTTGTAACCCATTTACCAATTCAATCACATACATATTAGAATTAATATTTCATTGTATACACGCATACTTGAAATTAAAGTAGGTCGAAGTAGGACTTTCTAACTTTGAAATGGCCTTGCTTTCAAGACTTTAACCAGAAACGATACTAGTAGTTTATGTTAGTTTAGGTTACCCACAACAGGGGATAATGCCCATCTTTTCCTAATTTCACATCAAAGATCAAGGACTTCCATCATCCCCAATAAAAGTATAATATATTCAATATCTTACTGATTTACTTTAATTAAATGAAATAAGTGAAAAGATAATGAACAATGACCGATCTAAAAAAAAAACCCCAAAAAACTACAAACAATACAATTCTGTGAACAGGACAAAAAATGTTGACACCAGGAAACTCCAGAGGTGGGATCAGGTGCTTGGGCATAGTAAGCATCCCCTATCAACAGATCACTCCTGCTGCGAGTCCTTTGTATTGTTCAGGTAGACAGAGTAGTTCGTAGTCAAATTTAGTATTTTAAAGGGCCTAACAATTAGCATGAAATATGTCAGTCAAAATAAGACCCAGTGATAGGTTATATTTGCTAACAAGGTCATTATAAGGACTATCGAATTTTCAAAATGCTCATTTCAAATGAGAGATTTTTAAATTTCCTGTAACATCAACTTACTTGTCAGTAGCATGCTTTGGTTTAAAAAATGTTCATCCTCTCTTGAGTATTTAATAAGTTGTGAGACAAGAACATCATTTGTAGGTGATAGTGGAATATTACTACATAAATAAAGAAAGTTGACTAAGGAAAATTGAAAGTCATATCTTTGTCGTACAGTTCTCTAGTAGTTGTTAGCTGGCTCTTATCATCTATAGTCAGGAAAACATTCAAACATGAAATGATGTGGCAGACTCTGCGGTGTCTTTTATTTCTAGTTCACTGGGTTATATCAAGTCGACATATGAATGGAAGTAACTATTGTTAATTCATAAAACGTCGTTGGTATCTGAATATTGAGGTTTTTCTTTTTTTCTCATTTTAATAAATTTTACTTCATACCTGAGCACTTCAGGTAGGAGTTCAGTATTGAAAAGTTCATAAAAATTTATAAGTGGTCCCAACCTATCCTATTTTGAACAAATGTGTATCTATATTAACTGAGGTTGCTTCCATTTTTCTTTGACTAATCATGGCTTAAGAAGATTTTTAAAGATTTTTTTTCTATAAGTTTTATCTTCTATTGTGGCCCCACCCTATCTCTGTGGGTCATAATTTAAACAATCTTGAATCTCTACTATCTTAGGATGATTCCTGATCATTTTCATCTTCCTGGGCCCAGTGGTTCTTGAGAAGATTTTTAAAATATACCATTAATTTTTCACTAATTTGTAATTATCTCCCCTTGGAAGAAAGCATGGCCCTTCACTTGAACCCCCCCCCCCCCCCCCCCCCCCGAATCCTCTTCACCCAAGGATACATTGTCGCAAGTTTGGTTGAAATTGGCCCAGTAGTTCTTGAGAAGAAGTTGAAAATGTGGAAAGTTTACAGACAGACGGACACCGGACAAAATGTGATCAGAAAAGCTCACTTGAGCCCTCGGCTCAGGTGAGCTAAAAAAGGTCTGCTAATAAAGGAGCACAATAAGTGTCCATAGGTATTCCAACAGATTGTTGACCTAGACACTTTTCTGTCACTGACCTTGACTTGCCAAAATGACCTTTGGTCAAGTTCATGAGTCATACGCAATATTTGTGTCAAACATCAGCTTCCACTTATTCAAGTTATGGACCGGAGACATGAATAATAAACTTTTTCTGCCATAGGCAGACCCTAAGGCCATGAGCAATTTTTGTGACAAGTATAAGCTTCTAATGTTCTCCATTTTAAAATATGGTAGGGACAAGGAATTAAGCATTTTTCTAAAGGTAACTTGAATTTAATCAAATGACCCTGGGTCAAGGTCATGACACACCTTCATATCCTAAGCAATATTTGTATGAGGTAAGAACTTCCACTGTTTCTTCATTAGGAAGTTACAGACCCAGCACAAAATTTGTACTTTATCTATCAGTGACCTTGAACTTATCAAATTACATAAACGTCAAGAATTTTTAAAAGTTGGTACCCAAAACGACTTGTCCCAAAGAATACACAAAGTCATGTGAAATATAAAAGCCCTAGCACCAACCATTCAGGAAAATATGGTACCCAAACAAAGATCTGGTCTCATGGAATATACTTGTAAAATCAAAAGACCTAGCACAAACTATTTAAAAGTTATGACCAAAGTTAAAATTTGGTAAAATTTTGCAAAAGTGGGTCAAACTCCAAGGTCAAGGTCAAATAAGCAGGTACCCAAAGAAAAGTCTTGTCACAAGAAAAACACCTGTGAAATATGAAACTCCTAGCATGAACCATTCAAAAGATATGGGCAAGGTTAAAAGTTTTTGCAGACAAACAGATTAACAGACATACAGACAGACCAAAAACTATATGCTCTGAATCTTCGATTACAAAGACATAAAAAGGAGGGTAATCCTGATTTAACTACATGTCATTTTACATGATAAAAATTAAACAACTAATAGGTACTTTAAGTTTATAGATATTTACTTATCCCAAGGTCAAAGAGTCAACCCTGACTCATGACTGTAGTAAATTTAAGAAGAATGCCATTCAATTCTTTTTTAAAAGTCCATGTATCTTTTTTTGAAACATGATTTCATCATTAGAAGACCAATATAAGCTCCTAATTACATGATTTATTTGTTTTGTATTCTTACAGAGAAAATGAAAAAATTGTTTAGGATGCCAGTGGAAATTCGACACTGTAAAGCTTAAAATTTGCTGTAAATTAATGCATAATATAAATCTAGAATAAAACATAAGTAATCAGAGATTACAGAGCTCACCTCAATGAATGCTGTCTTTAAGCAAGCCAAAGTCCCACACTAAACTAATAATCTAGTAGTGTGCATCCCTAGATGCAACATTTATGCGATTTGGGTCTGATAGGGCTTGCAGTTACTTGGGAATGGACTTATCTAAAAACCTTAAACTAGTCATTCATTCAGAAAATTAAATCAAATCCAGCATCTGAAGTAAGTTTGAGAGTGTCATCCCTTGATGCACCATCCATGCAAGTTTGGTTCAGATAGGCCACGAAGTTTCTTGGTAATACACCTACTCCAAACCTGTTCACTGTAGAATGTAGGTCACATCCAGCATCTGAAGCAACTCTGGTAGTGTACATCCCTTTTTGTATCACCCATGCAATTTTGATTCAGATAGGCCTTATAATTTCTTGGTCACAGATCTGCTTGCAAAACTTTAACCTGTTACTCAACTGGAAAATGTAGGTCAAATCCTGCATCCAAATCAACCCTGGTAATGTGCATCAATAAATGTATCTTCAGTGCAATGTTGGTTAGCAGAGGACCTATAGTCACTTTAAACTGCTCAAAAAGCTTTAACATGGTCACTTATCTGGAAAATGTAGGTAAATTCAGCATCCAAAGCAAGCCTGGAAGTGTGCATCCTTACATGTATCATCCATGCAAGTCTGGTCAACACAGGGCTTACATTTATTTGGAAATGAGACCTGCTCCAAAAACTTTAATTTGGTCCCTCATTTATAGAATGTAGGTCATATCTAGCATCTGAAGCAACTCTGGTAGTGTGCATCCCTTTTTGCATCACCCATGCCATTTTGATTCCGATAGGCCTTTTAGTTAGTTGGTAATGAGATCTGCTCCATAAACTTTAATCTGTTCACTCATCCGTAAAATGTAGGTCAAATCCAGCTAGCATCTGAAGCAAACCTAGCAATGTGCATCCCTAGATGTATCATCCATGCAAGTTGGTCAATATAGGGCTTATAGTAACTTGGAAATGCTCCAAAAACTTTAATCTGGTCAATCATCCATAAAATGTAGGTCAGATACAGCATCTGAAGCAAGCCTGGTAGTGTGCATCCTTAGATGTATCATTCATGCAAAGAATCTGGGGGGATAAGACGAGCCATGTGCCCATGCCCATTTTTCGGCTATGCAAGAAAATTTATTGGAAAAAATCTCTCAATTGTTCGAGTTTACTTAAGCATTTTAATGTTTACCGTAGTTTTCAAAATGATATTTATATTCTAAACAAGCTAAACAGTTGACTTTCATTTACTGTCACAAATGTCTAACATGGGTAAGGACTTCTATTAATTAATCTGCATATTGAGTGTTTACACTTATTGTGGAGATATTATAAAAATGTTAACATCGTATGTAATGATAATGGTGATCTAGAAGCGCTTTTATTTAAAATAAATAAAAACGGGAATAAAAGTATTCAAATATCTATTATAATTTTTATCCGGCATTTTAAATAATTTACTATAAATAAGTTCATTACTACATGTATATATTTTATTTCCAGTGAAAAATTTGTTATTCCTATAGACATTTTTTATAAAGTAAAACAAAATTAAAACCAAAGAAAACAAAACAAGAAAAAAAAAAAACAAAAAACAAAATCAAAAAAACAGAGCATGACTCGAACACTTTCCTCAATAAACGTCCCTTTAAAGAGCTCCTCGCTAACCACTGTACCACGGAGTCACACATACATACCCATTTAAATAGCATACAGTTCTCTATATTTAGCAAGCGTATTTGGACTTAGAATTTTTTAAGACCACGGTGAAAATTTAAGTAAGTTAACTTTATTTTTTATGTAGAGTGGGTCTTCGTACCAAATATTTGCAAGTGTAAAATGCAACATCTTTCCATTGCCTTTCATTAATCGTTCTCAAAAAAATGGTACGATGACCCACTCTATTTAAAAAATGTAGTTATATCATCCAATTTATGTCAGTTTTTGTGAAAATTGAGCGTGATGCCATTTTCTTGTGTTAATCAGAATCATTTTCGCTGTTACAGTATTCAGGTTTTGTCAAATTTGTATGCAAATGGTAATAAGCATTACATTAATTCAACAAAAAGTGAAATTTTTGTAAAATGAATTTATTGATTTTTTATCGATCGTTATGTAGGCATATGGCTCAGCTTATCCCCCCAGTTTCTTTGGTCAACATAGGGCTTAAACACTGTATTTACTTGGAAATGAGGCCTGCTCCAAAAACTTTAACCTGGTCATTCTTTAGCTGAAATTTGAAACCTTGACTGGTACAATGAAACATGAAGCATCTTCCATGCATCTCTGATTAAAATAGGGCATAGAAGTACTCTATGAAGAAATCTGCTCCAAAAACTTTAACCTAGGATGCCGATGCTGAGGGTATTACATAGGCTCCCCCAACTTCGTTGAGGTGAGCTTAAAAGTCAAAAATGTGGTATTATCACACAACTTTCTAAAAACTCTATAAAATTAGTAACAGTAATTAAAATAATAACTAATAAGTGTTTTACTTACATATACAATCAGTTTTGTTATTTTTTCCATCTGATTCTGTTGTATAGTTTACTGGACATTTCATACATTTCTCCTGAAGATTCATTGGCTGATATTCTCCAACAGGGCAAGGAACGCAGACATTTGAAGAATTACGGAATGTTCCATTGTAACAGATTTCTGTTATTCAAACCAATACAGTGTAATTATCAAATTTATTTTATGTACATCTGCGTATTAACTTGCAACCTCTTAAGTACTGTTCTATTAAAAATGTAGTCTTGAATGCATTTACAAGATTATTTGCACAGAATGATGGGGAAAAAATAAATAAAGAGGCATCAAGAGTTATAACTAATCATTAAAGAAATGATCAATTTAGGTTAAAAAAGCAATTTCCTATTAAATACATACTTATCATCAAATGAGGAAAATCATATTAATATTAACATTTTAGTTTGAAGATGATGAAATGTGTATTCTTAAAATGTATTGTGTGTATCAGTATAAATTTCTTATAATTAAGCTCAATATTTTTTTTTATATGATCAAGATCCCATTTTTATAAATTGAGAACCCAAGAAAGATAACTCTTGAATTGTGGCAAAAGGTGGTACTCCATGTACACACAAGGAGAATGATTTCACTTGCAGTTTATAAATGTGTAATAGAAACAAGAAGTCTATGAGCTAATGCTCACTAATAATACCCCCGCTCTGATGTGAATACACAAATTCATTTATGGAGAGACAAAGGGATAAACAACAAGTTGACATCGGATTTGCACAAAAATGAATCCCACCATATGACATGCCTAAACAAAGAGTGTGCTAAACTTTCAAGCATCAGTGATGAATAATTGCTGAGGTAACAGCAACCAAAATTTGTAATGTATTGTACGGACAGATGCATGCATAAATAGGAAGTTGATATTGGATTTGTACAAAAATGAATCCCATCATATGGCATGACGAAACAAAGAGTGTGATAAATTTTCAAGCATCTGCAATGAGTAATTGCTGAGAAAACTGCAACCAATATTTGTTATGTTGGTACAGACAGATGCACGGATAAACAGGAAGTCAACATCCGATTCGACAAAAATGAATTCCACCATATTGCATGCCTAATCAAAGAGTGTGCTAAAATTTCAAGCATCTGGGATGAGTAATTGCTGAGAAAACTGCGACCAAAATTTGTTATGTATGGTACGGACAGATGCACGATAAACAGGAAGTCAACATCCGATTCACAGAAAAATGAATCCCACCATATGGCATGCCTAAACAAAGAGTGTGCTAAAATTTCAAGCATCTGCGATGAGTAATTGCTGAGAAAACTGCGACCAAAATGTGTTACGGACAGACACACGAGGGTAACACAGTATATCCCCCTCTCCTTTGGAGCGGGTGTATAATAAATGTATTTTAAGTAACACAGAACATATGAATACATATCATATAGAAAGATTTCTACTTTATAGTTTAAAATTCATGAAATACTATGCCTTACATCTACACATGCTTAGTTCAAGGGAAAATTATTAATTGTGCTCCTAAACACATTAACAATTTCTTATATTAAATCAAGTATAGATAAGGTATCCTTACCCTTGAAACTTGATTTTGTCATCTTTAATATAGTTTGCATGTATGAGGGGTGGGAAGTTGGTGTGGGGTTAGAATACTCAATATCATTATGCACACTGATTAATTCCTAGTAAAGAATACGATTTTTTTGATTGCATTTTTTCTAATGTTCTGACTCTTTCGTCATTGCTTCCATGAGGAAGAGATCTAAAAACTCATTTTCTTACTGTACAATATAAATCTACTTAGCATACATAAATCTGATTTAAAATTAAAGATTGAATGATTTTCATCTTTTATAAAAATGGCAATCAAATATACTCACTAATAGAACATTCATCAATGTTTACAGTTTTCATTCCCTTTGTTGTAAATCCAGAGGGACAAACAGAACACATACTGAACACATCTGTGTTGTTTTTATATTGGCCTCGTGGACATGATCGACAGGTTTCATTTGCTGCAGCCAAGACTTCATATCCCACAGGACAATAAACTAAAAGAAATATAATTCTTGTAGCATTTAAAATTAAATTATTGACACAAAGTTGACACAACTTAACCCTTGGTAGATATTCAGCCCAAATTATACTATATTGCATATATGACTGATTCTTCTATAGAGCATTCTTAACACTTAAGATGTGCCAAGGAACTAGAAACTCCTTAATTTTAAGCATAATATACATGTATAAACACATACAAGGTCACTTGGATTCCAACATCTAAAATCAAAATGCTTCTTCCTCAAATAATAATATACATAAAATATACCTGCATATAAAGTTAACAATTTTCTCTATTCTATGTTCAAAACATTTCTTTTTTAAAAGGTATGTACTTATCACAAGTGGTTCACTTACATTTACAATCAGATCTGTAACTTGTTCCATCTGATTCTGTTGTATAGTTTACTGGACATTTCATACATTTCTCCTGAAGATCCATTGGCTGATATTCTCCAACGGGGCAAGGAACGCAGACATTTGAGGAATTACGGAATGTTCCATTGTAACAGATTTCTTATATTGAAAACAATTAAAATAACATTAAGAAATCTTTCCTAATTAAATATCAAACAATATAAAAATAGCCATATTTTATAACAAGAGACCCAAGGGCCTAGAATAGCTTTTCTGAAAATTGTACAACCTATAATCCCATCTGTTTTTAGCTTCTTGGTAACCTATATATAAGGATAAAGCCTTGAAATTCCAAAAATAAGTTAGCATGGCAACAACTGACGAAGTTTTATAATTCAAAGCCTATTAGTATCTGAAATATTTAAACTTAGCCATGAAGTTGTAAAAGTAGGTCCAATGACCTATTTTTTGGTTGATACACTCCAAGTACTCAAGATGCATCAACTGACAAAATTTGATGATTCTAAGCCAATTAGTATCTGAAAAAAACATCATTTCCAAAAGTAGGTCAAGGTGACCTATTTTTGTTTGACACACTTTGAGGACCCAAAATGCATCAACTGACAAAGTTTGATGATTCTAAGCCAATTAGTAACTGAAAAAGCCATCAAATTCCAAAAGTAGGTAATGGTGACCTATTTTTGGTTGACTCACTTTAAGGACCCAAGATGCATCAACTGGCAAAGTTTGATGACTTTAAGCCAATAAGCAACTGAAAAAGCCATCAAATTTCAAAATATTTTGGTTGACACACTCCAGGTACCCAAGATGCATCAACTGACAAAGTTTGATGATTCTAAGCCAATTAGTATCTGAAATATTTAAATTAAGCCATAAAATTGCAAAAGTAGGTCTTTTTGATTGACACACTCTGAGGACTCAAGATGTGTCAACTGACAAAGTTTGATGATGTTCCTATGCTTCAAAGTGTCCAAAAAAAAAAAATATGCCTATAAAACAATGAAAATGAATACCTGTAAAATTCCAAAAATAGGTCACTGTGACCTACTTTTTGATAAATCTGTTTTAAAGCCCCTAGGTGCATCAACTTACAAGGTTTGATGATTTTAAACCTCTTAGTATCTGAAATGATGACCTTTAATGTTTAGAAAATGATTAGCCTTACAATTCAGAAAGTAGGTCACCTACTGTTTGATTGACACACTTCAAGGTCCTATGATGCATAAACTGACAAGTTTTGATGATCATAGGCTTCAAAGTATCCAAGTTATGCATCAAAATTAAAATGAAAATGAATACCTGCAAAATTCAAAACGTAGGTCATCGTGACCTACTTTTGAGTCAACATGATATGAGGTCCAAAGATGCATCAACTGACAAGATTTGATGATCCTAGGCCTTCTAGTTAACAAAATATCAACTTTTTAATAAAATGTAATTTTTGATCAACTTTGAAGTGACCTTGAGACCACACCCTTTGCCCCAGGGTGATGCCTTGAACAATTTTTAATCTACAACATATCCTAATCCTTGTATGTAAGTTTGGTGATAATCTGCCCAGAGGTTCTTGAGAAGATTTTTTAGCTACCAGTACATTTTTTCCCTAATTATCTCCCCTTGTTTAAGGACCTTATCCCTGTTTTTAGTATAAATGAGAGTCCTTGGGCCAAGGATACTCTGTGACAAATTTGACAAAAATTGGTCAAGGGGTTCTTGAGTTATGGCCCATATTCCAAAAAGTTGACCCACAACGCACAAATAACCATAGCATTAGCTCTATGAGCCTTTGGCTCAGAAGAGGTAAAAAGAGGCATGGGTAGACAGACATCTCGGCCCAACGACACCTTGACCCATCACGCTTGACATCTCGGCCCTGACAGGTCGGCCCAATATTGTTGACACGTCGGCCCATATAAAAGACACCTCGGCCCAAGTAAAATTTTATGATGGAAAAAAATTAACAGCGTTTGAATTGGTATTATTGGTGTAATTATTTTTCTGACGATTAAAGGATTATTTTGAATTGAAAAATAGGGGTCTTAATCTTGTTTTTTTTAAAAAAATAAACATTTTATTGTTTATATAGATCGATCTATATGACTTCATTGTATATATTAATGTTTCTTTTTTTTCTTTTTTGGGAAAGCACACATACTTGCTTTGCATGATACAAGGAGCTTGGAAAAAAAGAAGAAAAAAAAACCGGACTCGAACTAGGTATAAGCGACGATAATAAATTCATGAATGGAAGTGTTTTTCTTAAAAGAAATAAATGAGAAAATATTCAATACATGTAAATATCTTTAATTACTATCTCCCAATTAACTCTGCTCGTAATCAGGTAATTAACCCCCTGTTGTCACCAATACCAAAGGATGCGACGCGGCATATTACTTGTTTATCATTTAGCACTTTAATTAATAGCATTAACAAAGTGCTCGTGGAAGTTCTTTTGAAAAAAAATAAATCTTGATAGTTTATTCATGTACTTTTTCAATTCAAGTCTCAAAATTGGAAATATATATTTCATGGCAAGTCTCAAAATTGGAAATATATATTTCATGGTAAAATTTTGCTTGGGCCGAGGTGTCTTATGAATGGGCCGACCTGTCTTCAATCTTGGGCCGACCCGTCTGAGCCGAGGTGTCATTGGGCCGAAATGTCAATGGGCAGAGGTGTCGTTGGGCCGAGATGTCTGACATTCGAGGCATGCAATCAACTATTTTCTGTTGATTATATATCAGTATGTATATTTTTGCCAAAATTCTTTTGAGGTTGTCTTAAAAAGCTTGCTCCAATGTCAATAACGCAGTGGGAAGACTGGGCTGAAAGGTCAAGAAAAACTGAGTTGTATCATTTGCTGCTTTTACATCTTTATGATTAAAACAACCTCAATGCTTAAAGTGTATAACTGCAATAAAGTACATATTTTCCCTATGAGCTGAAGCCTTATGCCAATCAAATGATTGAAAATACAATTTCCTTTACTTTGTAAAACATGTATGATCTACCATTTGATCTTCTAATCTGCATGTTTGACATACTTATCACACATCCCAAGACACTTGCAGTGGCATTCCCAGCAGTCGTCATTCCAGGTGCACATGGGGTGCAGACATCCTCTGAAAAACTGCGGTAGTACCCACGAGGGCATTCCACACATTTTCCATCTGATTTAAGTTCTGTTCCCTCCTTACAATCATCTGAAAATGACCTCAATATGTTACATACATTTATTTCTTCAGGCTTGTAGCAACAATTAACAATTTTAAAATTGGAGGACAACTTCAATAAAAAAAAAACATAAATTAAAAAAAAAATTACATGGGAAAGGAAAACATATACTGTCCAATCTTGAAAATCTTACTGTGTGTAGGGGGTGGTGGATTTGGACCTATTTTCTAACCTTTTGATACATTTTTTTCTTCAAATATTGGAATTTGCCAAAGTTTTAACTTACAGCAACAAAAATGGGTGGAGGGGGTATTTAGATTCTAAATTAAAATAGCCATATTAAAAATACAGCAAAAGACTATACTCAGAAACAAGATGCCCCAAAATAGACTGATACATGAAGCTATGTTGCCCTAAAGCAAGAGAAATAGGATAATCAGGGATCATCAAAATAATTAGTTTAGTATCTGTAACAAATGTTACATAGATCTACTTGTGTGTACATGCCCCCATTTGTCACTATCACCATGTTATCTTATTTGTGCTTGATCTTTTTTGGTATACCCCCCATCTTATTATCTCTCTCTCATTGACCTCTCTTGCTCTTTGAAGAGAATTTAATTTACAAAGATATTCTTGTATAAATCTCTTTGTTCAATTCACCTTTCAATAACATTATTTATAGCGATTAATTTTCATTGGTGAATAGCAAAGGTGGATAACATCTCCCAGTAGAATATAAATACAGCCCTGCCCAGCACCAGTACACTTGACCAAATGGTCAAGAATTTCACAAATCTGGTAAAAATACCCTTGCCTTATTACATCTTTGTACTATGTCTCCTACAAGCACAGGAGCAGTCTGAGAGCAAAGCAATAATACATTTTCACTTTAATAACCTTGTATGTTTGAACAAATAACCTTGACCATGTTAACTTATTTGTGCTTGACCTTTTTTGGTATACCCCCCATCTTATTATCTCTCTCTCATTGACCTCTCTTGGTCTTTGAAGAAACTAGGATAATAGTAGATCTATGTAACATTTGTTACAGATACTAAACTAATTATTTTGATGATCCCTGATTATCCTATTTCTATTGCTTTAGGGCAACATAGCTTCATGTATCAGTCTATTTTGGGGCATCTTGTTTCTGAGTAATTTTTTTTTAATTTTTTTTGTAACCTTGTATGTTAGATCAAGCACAAATAAGTTAACATGGTCAACACAGCCCAACCCTTAAGTATCCTTGCTCATCATAACTAATATTCACTTAATTTATCTGATAAATACCCAGGAGCAGAGGAGAAGATTCTCAAAGAAATAATGCATTTTCACCATATATTCAACTGAGAAATAATGCATTTTCACCGTCTATTCACCAGAGCCCCACCATACACCTAAACTCCTGACCCTGGGGACACAAATTTTGCAATTTTGGAAAAGACACCCTTGCTAAGCATAACCATGCACATTAAATCATTTGCTTAATACCCAGGAGCTGAGAAGGTTTTTAAAGATATAATGCATTTGCACTATATAATCAATAGAGTCCCACCCTAACACTAGAACCACTGAAGGGGGGGGGGTGCACAGGGACAATTAAATTTCACAATTTTTGTTCCCCTTCACCCATAGATGCCATATGCAAAATTAGTTGATTTTGGTTCATTGGTTCCAGAGAAAAAACTTATTAAAATGCTTAAAAAATATTTATTACCCAAAAACAACAAAGAGACTTACTGACTTACTGAGTTTTATCCTTTAATAATCTAATACTTAAAACGTGCCTATAGGGCTCATGCAGCTAGGTTATCTAACACACAGTGATCAAAGTATTTATCAGCAGCACCGAAAAAATAGACTCAAGTTATGACTTATACCAGATAGAACTTACTCTGTGGAATTGGATAAACTACAGGCTGAAAACAAGTGAAACTTACCTGATACATGAAGGCTGAGGGCAAGGGATTCTTTCCTTTATGAGCTATGTCCATTAGCATGAAACATACTCACTAGCACCTGATACATTAAGGCTGAGGGTAAAGAAAGTTTGCCTATATGAGCTATATTGTTCACTAGTACCTGTGTAAGGAACAGAGTAATCCTACTTGAGTAGAGCAATGCTTGCCCAGGATGCAATAATTGATAGTTGTCATAACAAGAGTACTCTACAAGGATGCTAAATGATAAAAATGGTAAACATACCATGAAGTAATATGCCAAATTATGTAGGTGAGTAGCAGCTGCATAAGCCCCAAGTATGGGGAAAATAATAACACGTGAAAACAGATAGCAACAGGTCACATAAGTGACTCATGTGACCTAAAAATGGAAAAATTCATCTGCTATCATCTGCATATTCATTTGCTATCCTTAAAGTGAAAATTGCAAAACATTTTAACCATGCACAGAAAATACCTCTTTTATGGTAAAAATGTGCAAGGTTTATCCCATATTTAGTGTATATTGGCCTACCTGGAAATTTCTCTGTTTACTGTACATATCACATATTACACATACCATGTTTTCCTCAAACTAAATGTCAATCACAAGAACATAGTGTAAAAGCATATTTTAAAATGAAATAAAGATACCAACCAAAACACTGTGACGAGCTGTTGGATCCTACTCCACTTGTCTTTTTGCCTAGAGGACAGGGTAAACAGTAATCCTGCCCAGCCATGTCTTGGTAAAAGTGTTTCTGGCAGAGGGAACATACTGAACCATTCAGAAACTGTCCAACAGGGCACTCAGCTGGAAGAAATAAATTATACAGTTTGTTTGTAAAGCAGAAAAAATAAAAACTGATATAGACTAGACTTTTGTCAATGTACATGTACAGATAATGTGTACTAAAGGTATTTTCAAGCTATCTGCTTATTAAACAACATTCTTTCCTCATAGGTACAGTAAAACACTTATAACAAAGTACCAGGGACTGACAATTTTGCTTCATATTAAATGTTAATTTGAAGCAAATTTCTCACTTTGGAAAAAATTATCAGATTAAAATTTGCAACAATTAGCAGTAATTAAATACATATATCAACAGAGCAACAGTCATCGTAATGTATTCCAAGTACCAAACAGTTTCAATTTATATCAGACCAAACTGACATAAGAATAGCATATTGAAAGAAATTAACAGATTATTATTAATAATATAACCACAGTAACATCATTCATTGAATCAAAAACCAATTAACAAAATCTGTATTTGAAGATTATAAATTTGTGTACCAAATTTAATTAAATCCAATCAGAACTTTAGAAAAGAAACTATTTTGAAAGAATTCAATAGAGTATCCTATTTCTAGTATCATGACAACTCAGCTCTCCAAACCACATATAAAGCATTATTAATTAAAAAAAAATCTATTTACTCATACACCAAGTTTGATAAAAATCAGGCCTAAACTGTAAAAGGGGAAATTGTTTTGAAAAAAAAGTTTTTATTTACTGTATAGATAAACAGAAAGACAGATGGACACCATGAATGTGTATTAAGCCCATTCAGTTTATAATTTCATAGCAAGTTTATGAATGAAAAGTATTTGAAGCTGTAATTTACTCATGTAGTCACATTCATGGGAACAACTGCAAAGTTAATTGCTACATAAAATTTATTTACTTTTCTAGAGTACAATATCAAAGAACATATGCAACAGTAAAAACGTACCAACACAAGCACTAATTTCATAATTCCCGACTCCCAGTGTTGTTTTTCCAGTTCCACAGGATTCACATGAAGTCAGTTCTTCTTCATCTCCATAAGTTCCCACAGGACAGTACTCACAATTCTGACTTGTGCTGTTGTAAAATGTTCCCCGACTACATACAACTACAAAATTATTATAATAATGATGAAAAACAAAATTATTCACATACATTAATCAATTCTGAAGGTGTGACAGGCACACAACAACCTATGTATAATTCTAATGGAACAGATAATTCCCCAGTATTAAAAGGTAAATTAATTATGCACACCCCATTTGAACTTTCCTCAGCAATTTTTGAAGCCTTTCCAAAAGTAATCATTGATAGTCTTTATTTAAAATGAGAGGCCCATGGGCCAAAATGTTCACCTGAATCACCAATTCTTTTCCTTATAAAATCTTTCATTGCTGTCTCAAAATTAAAGTGTGCGACATCAACATCTTTAAAGCAATATGAGCTGCATTTTTGTGAATTTATTTTGTTGTTAAAATGTGCAGATATGATAAATCTGTATGTAATTTAAACCTTTATGATCAATTAGACTGATGTTAAGTATTAAATTTTTTTCAGAAGAGAGATTTCTATACAATGGAAAGTATGGTTTTATATAAGAAATCAATATTGTACAGGACACCATTAATGTACTTTTGCTTCAATCAAAGCATATAAATAGTTCTTCCATCGCAAATATAAACAATAGAAGTTCATAAACCTTCTTTTTTTCTGTCACTTAAGTAGTTAATTACAATATTGCAACAAAAATTTCCATCATCAAAGTTGCAGCTCATACTGCTTTAAGGTATTCAATGTATAAAGACCATATTTTGTACCTAATAAATGAAAGGTCCGATATTTTTCATCGTGATAGCATTTTGAAGATGTTAATTATCAAATAAAAATACTGCATCACAGGAATTACAAAATTTTGATTTATGTCTAATTAATTGCACCTTGAATTTTACATTGAAGTCTATGGGTAGCATGTGTTATTAAGATATTGTAAAAAGTAATTTGAACTTCATACAAATCTCTTGGTGAAAATATGCATAAACTCTCTCTTTATTAAAATAAGAAATAAAATGAATCATTTACCACAGATATTGTGACAAAATTCAAATTTTCTTCTTTTCATCAAGAGCATGTAACTGTTCAAAAACATTTAAGGTGCAAAATGGCTGGCTTCTTATATGTTATTTGTCATGTGAATTTGGTTCATTTCACTTTTATTGTTATCTAGCAATACATCTTAACTATTTTAAAATAATTCAAAATTGTTCAATATCCCTTCATTACACATTGAATACCTTAACGTAAAGTATATTGAGGTTTGATGTCAACTTTATACAAATTATCTGATGTCTAAAACTTTGTTTTCAAATTGTTCTCCCAATCTAGTCCCTATGGCTTTGCTTTGAAAAAAACACACATCTCCATTACATGGTGATGAATGAACATAAAGCCAGGAAACTTGTTTTTGCTTAGGTGCAGATCAAGTTAATTCAGTGTTTTTGAGGTGCATGTGATAAAGGTAAAGGATTCATTAAATTTGAAAAAAAAATTGTTATATTTTTTTTCAGGAGAGGGTTTTTCAATGGGGCAGGAGGCAATTCCAAACAAAAAACTTGAATATACACTCATATAGGAAGGTTTCACAATTTTTTTTTTTTAACCCATTGGTTCTTGAGAAGATTTCTAAATGTATATTCAAAGAATTGTGGTACCTCACTTTGGGGGTTTCTTTGAAAAGTACATATTGTACCGGTATATCAAACTTCAAGGTCATGAGGTCAAAAACATTCTAAAAGGTCCTGTCACAGAAAATGTACATATCAAAATTGAAAGCCTTAGTATAAATATCATATCTTACCATTTACAATGTAAGAGGAATTCCCATAAAAAGTTAAATTAATTTGTCATTATACTTACCACAATTACCCTCTATAACCATGTTTCCCTCTGGACATGATACAATATCTGTAATGACTACTTGGTCATTCAGTAGCTTTGCACCAGCAACATCCTTTCAAAAACAAAAAAACAAAAAAAAACAACTACAGCTCTAGTTATCAAAGGGTACATGACCCCAAGCCAGACATAGCATTTTGGAGCAGGGTCAAAATTCAAACTAAGTTGCATTTCATCAAATAGCATTACTTTAAATTAACAGGAACCAAGTCAAGGGTAGGTGTAAACATGCATGGACATGAAACAATTACTAGAGTGCTCTAAGGAATGCATGTGTCACCTGCTAGTAGCATAATTAAAAATACAATATTTACATCCACTGAAGATATTTTCCCAGTTATTTCTTATGAAAAACACTTCTTTCATCAATCAATATACTTGTTAGAACTGCTTTTTCAAGCCACCTGTAGATTTCTTATGCAGTGTGCTTTTCAATTAATGAAACATATTACAATGATGTATATCAATTGTGCAATATAAGTATTTAAACCTACTTTATATAATTATTTACACAAACATAAATACCAAAAAAGTATTTTTCTTTGTTTAAAATAAGACTGCTGTGGAACAAGCATTCCAAGAGTACTGCATAAACAATACTAGTCCCCTGATGGTAAGTGTAATCTGGTTCATTCCCCTTAAAATTTAAAAGGCCACAATTCCATTTTTATTAAATCATTGAAGTAGAATGAAATGCAGACTTGATCTGTTATTCATCAAGGTACACTCACAAACCAAAAATCAGCTCAATATCTACGTTAAGAAAAAAAGTGCAGAAAACCAAGTGGGACAGACAGCCAGCCAAACAAGGAGGAAAACTATACTCCCTCCGGTTTCACCAGTAGGGGACCAATGGAGTTGAAATATATTAAGATAACATGGCTAATATGACAAGAATCAAAACAAGGCTGGTATTTAAGTGATTACCAGATGGTATATAGTTACTACTCTTTTACATTAAAATTAAAATATGGCAACACAGTGTAAATTATCACGATATAAGGTATAATGTCTTAAATACTTGATACGACTAAAATACTTACATTTACATCAAATACAGTATCCTCAAATATTAAAACTCTGAAAACTTCTCTTGCTGTGTAGGTGTTGGAACCAGACTTTTTAGTAATACCATTTCTAAAAAAATGCAAGATTTTTTTTTTAAAATCAAACAAATACAACTTAATCTTTATCTAATCTTTAAGATCACAACAGATGGGAACTCGGAGGTAGATGTACTAGCTCGATTTTCTGAAGCCAACGATGTATGACAAAACATATAGTTTTAGATGGTATTTTCTTTAAATTTGTTTTGGAAGATATGTGCAGCATCATAAGAGACACAGAGAGGGCCTTTGCTTATTGTAGCACTTCAATTACAAGTTATTTCAGAAAATAAAGTTCAAAACAATTACGCACAGGTGTGGATGTCTAAAGAAAAATGTTTTTTTTTTTAAAAGTGTTTAATTGTTACTCTGACATCATTTTACCTTAAATTCTTTATTTTCATGGAAACTGTTATCTGTTGTTTGCCAGAAACACACTTTGAGTTGATTTCCACATTTGAGCAGTCAGAGTTTGAACAAACATTATCCCAGTTCTGAAAAACCTTGTCTTTAAAATCAGTCATTAGATTTCTCTTTAATGGTGCTTCAAAAGATTCATCACAGACCACCGCCAATGAAAACATTAAGGAAACTTCTATCTGAATTTGTGTCTCAGTTTTGTCTGAAAAAAAAGTTATGAAGTAAGATGAAACATATGCCTTTACCACAAAGAAGATGGGTGAACATGACGAGCGATAAGCCTATAGTGTGACAAACATGAAGATGAAAAATTAAATTTCAATTATATCAAAATTTTCCTTGATATTTCGTCTAACATAAAAATATACTTTATGTAAAATCTCTACAATTTGCAAAAATCCCGCAAAGATTGAAATTATTTGCCTGTGAAATATTAGACACACACAAAAGCGGGCTAAAAGAGTCATTTTCTCAATCTATAATACTATTTTTCGATATGAGTGGGTCTTCACTCCACCTTTTTGAAAGTTAATCCTCAAAGTTTGCATAAAAATATACATTTTTTGGTTACCAAAAATATGGAGCAATGACCCACTATACATTAAAAATATACTTTTATGACATAACATTCGCAGCTTTTTGAGAAATACTTGAAGTCCATAAAGTCAAGGGTCATATCACAAACATGATTTAAATGCCACACTTCATCAGGACTTGTGTAGTCTAGTGGTTAGCGTGCTAGTCTCGAAAGAAAATGATACTCAGGATTTTTATTGCTAGGGTTCGAACCACACGAATACCACATTAATTTTTTTTAATAAAAGAATAAATTTTGCCGAGAAAATTTTCCTCAGAAAAGTTTTGTTTATCATAATTTCATAAATTTCATTATTGAGAACTTTACTCTAAATACTATAAATTCACAAACTGAACATGATTTTTATAAATCTGAAGCTATAGGCTTTCTGCATGCTATGTTTGGCCATCTCCTTTGTTATTTATATCTATTCCAAGGAAAAAGGATATCTCATGAAACAGTGAAAATTGGTCCATTTAAGAGAGAGAGAGAGAGAGAGAGATAGAGAGAGAGAGAGAGAGTAATGATAAAGTACAGTCAATTTCATCTAAGACTATGTTTTAGCAATTTTTCATTTCAGTAGTACATTTACTATGATTTGGAACTGGGCTGACAAACAATCCTGAAAATTTGTGAAAAAAATTGTAGAAAAACTTACTTCCACATGAAGGCAATGCAAACTTCTGCCGTGGTTTGAGAGGAGTATACACGCCAAGCTTAGAACACATTTTATATTTTGGAGCAGGGATGGATAAAACTTGGTTACCAGGACATCTCAGATTACAGATATCTCTACTGCCTGAACAGTAACCAATGGTTAGAGAGGGTGGGGATCTTGGTTTAGGGCAGTCAGCATTATCTGAAATGAACAATAATTCCTTTGGAATTAAGTATGCATGCACATCATCAAAAATATTCAAGTTTCTCAATTGCAATATACCAATTGTTATTACATCTGTTGATGTAATATAAGCAATATATAAGAGGCCAATGGACCAAAACACACTAGCTTCTAGTAACCTTACTGCAATGCTGCAGTATGCAGCCATTGTGTTTTAAATAATTTCTTCAACACTTTTGGGCCAATTTTAATAATACTGTATTACATTATCCAGGGCCTTGTTTTACAAAAGAACTTAAGATGAAGTTAAAATTTTACATAGTTCAAAAATATCACCTACTCAATAGTTCAGTGAGATTATAATTACATTAATTTACTAACATGTAATTGAATTCTTTTTCAAATCATAACCACAGTTAAACAAGAGGCCCATGGGCCACATTGCTCACCTGTGCACTTTGGCTAGGAAAAAAAGCAGAAATCAGTTTATTATTGAAAAAGTTTAATAAATATAAGTGCTCCCAACCTTCCCCTATATGTATATGGGGGTGGGGGAGGGCTTGATTTGAACAAATTTGAATCTACACTGCCTGAGGATGCTTCCATATAAATATAACCAATCATGGCTTTGCTGTTCTTGAGAACAAGATTTTTAAAAGATTTTTCCTATGTAAAACTTTGATCCTCCATTGTGGCCTCACCCTACCCCCAGGGGTCATGATTTGAATAAATTTGAATCTACACTGCCTGAGGCTGCTTCCACATAAATACAGTCCCTGAAACGTTCTACTTTCCCATTTTTCCGTTCAAACACCGTTCGTTCACCGTTCGTTCAGCGTGCGTTCACCGTTCGTTCACCGTGCGTTCACCGTTCGCTCTCCGTTCACAGTTTTGCGTTCACCGTTCACTGTGCGCTCGCGTTCACCGTTCACAAAGCGTTCAGCGTTCGCTCTTCGTTCCGTTCACTTTGCGTTCAGCGTTCACCTATCGTTCAGTTTTGATTGTCATTCGGAACTCCGAAGTGAAAGGACTTATCTTTTTGTAGGTAAGGAGTTACAGGTTTTTTTAATTTAATAACTAACATATCGTGTTTGAAGAATCATTATTTCATGGGGAAAAATATCTACGATATATATATTTATTATTCTAACTTAGCTGTTGGGTTATTTATTAAATTACTCTGGAAAATAAATGTTATTATAAGCACATTCTGTACCTATGTAGACCGATGCTGAAATATTAAATTTAACTAAGGGCAATGTGCAAATACTTCAAGCACTGCAACAATTTGTTGTTTTGTTAAAGACGACAAATCGTTAATGGTGATATAATTATCCAAGTAAAATAATTACGCAGCAAAACTACGAAAATATTTATTTCTAACACCTTTTTTTTCAATTACTACAGAAAATATGATAGAACTAGTTCTGAGAGTTATACATAGTACTGCGGATATCCTGTTAATTTATTATCTTTGGAGCGAATTAAATTGATAGTGTGGTTAAAGGAAATATTTATTAAAAATGTAATACACTACAGAATTTTCTCTACTATAATATGTTAAGTTTATATATAGTTATAGAGAAAAAAAATTCTTTCTTCACCGTAACATTATATGTTTGCCATTCAATATGATTAATACCCCCCCTCCCCTTTCCCCCAAATTGGTTACTTAGTCAGTACTGTATTTCCAGAATATTTTAATTAACATTTAAAAAAAAATGTTAAGGTCTTTTTTAGAACAAAAATTTCAGTCTCAAAACAAGCATGCATCTAAAAAAGTCACAAAACAATAGTAGTTCAAAATGTACACGTGTCGGCGGTGGTATTTGAAATTGGCAGAGAGTATGTTTCAAAGTCAAATGCTAATGCCCAATGTATTTTATTCATTTATTATTCAAATGTTGGAATCAAATCTAGAAATGATAAAAATAAATGTTATAACTTGTTGGAAGTACTCGCACTTCGCCTTCGACGTGACGAAACTTTCACACCTGCACAGTGTCGAATGATTTTGATTGACAGGACAAGCATGTGGAGTTCGTGTGAACTTGAAGCAGGAAAATAAAAACGAGTATGACTGTCAAACAAATGGATATGATTTGTTGATAAAAAAAAAAAGTTACTTTCACTGCCTGATATATTTAGAAAAAAAATTCAGAGTTTTTGTTTGATATAGGTACAAACATTTAGTGAAGCCTGAAAGGAAGGGAGGGGGTCTAAAACGGAATATTTCTCTCTCTCTCATTTGTCTGTTTAATGAAAACTATAACAGCATATTACTTAAATATCAAGTTCTGAAAATTGAATTTATAACAAATAATATGAATATGCATCTTTGTATTATCTTGTCCGAGTATAATCACGGCCATCTTCAGATACATGTAGAAGTCTGCTCAATAAATCATCATGAAAAAGTAGAAATGACACACAATATATTATTGTATTAAACATTTAAATACGAGCGTATAAATGCAAAACGTCCACTGACCTTTGTAATTATTTTTTTTTTTCATTATTTTACACGAAATCGCCTTGACACGGAGATATTTGAATGGATGTTACAACCGCTTTAATTCATTCTGTAAGTCAGAAGTTTTCTCTGATTTGTTATCAAATAAGAATAAACATTCTTTTTTTCCAACTAAAAAAACATCTTTTATACTTCAGCGTTCGGCAACAATTACAATGTTATAATGCGATAAAAATCGTGTGATTAAAAACTTATTGTGCATGCATCGTCTTTCTTAGGACAATTTTGGAGAATTTATTTTATTGACTTATTTATTCATTCACTTATTGGTTTACTTATTTATTATTTATTTATTTATTTATTTATTGGCACCTGACATTATAATACAATAAAATAGTTTCAATGCAAGGAAAAGATCAGAGGCATTCCGAATATATCGTTCATCTTGCGTTCATCGTTCGTTCACCGTTCACTTTGCGTTCGCGTTTGCGCTCCATTCGCGTTCTGCGTTCGCTCACCGTTCACACATCGTTCACCAAGTTGCGTTCAGCGTTCACACATCGTTCACTCACCGTTCGCTCTGCGTTCGTTCAGCGTTCGTTCACCATTCGTTCACCGTTCGCTCACCGTTCAAGTGGGAAAGTAGAACGTTTCAGGGACTGTATGACCTACCGTGGCTTTGCTGTTCTTGACAAGAAGATTTTTAAAGATTTTTCCTATATATTCCAGTGTAAAACTTTTTTCGTCCATTGAGGCCCCACCCTACCCCCGGGGATCATGATTTGATCAAATTTGAATCTACACTACCTGAGGATGCTTCCATATAAGTTTCATTTTTTCCTGGCCCAGTGGTTCTTAAGAAGATTTTTAAAACATACCATTAATTTTTCAATAATTTGTATTACAGTTGAACTTGGATATCTCAAACAGGGATATCTCAAATACCATGATATGCCAAAGTGATTGGGAAGTCCTTACCATGTATTTCTTCAGTATTTTACCCTTGATATCTCGAACCTCATTTATCTTGAAGTTTTTCTCCGTCCCATCGAGTTCGAGATAACAAGATTTGACTGTATCTCCCCTTGGAAGAAAGCTTGGCTCTTCATTTGAATGAACTTGAATCCATTTTACCCAAGGATACTTTGTGGCATGTTTGGTTGAAATTGGCCCAGTGGTTCTTGAGAAGAAGTCAAAAATGTAGAAATTTTACAGACAGATGGACGGATAGACAGATGGATGCCAGACAAAATGTGATCAGAAAAGCTTACCTGAGCTGAAGGCTAAAAATGTAAACAATTGAATAAATTGCAGAAATAGACTTTGGTCTCATAGTCATGAGCTCTTTTGTAAAACACAAGCCCAGATAGTATTGCTCATTTTTTCTGACAAGTTACCCACTCCACACAGTTTAAACAAGGTTTCAATAATACATTAAATTGCTTTAATTTATAATACTCAAGTTTAGCCATAGATATGCAGACAAACATACATGAAAACAATCTGCTTTCTCTAATGCTGAAATAATATAGGGCATACATACATGCACATTAATTTTCAAATATTCCCTATAATGTCAGTAAAATATTAAATGCATGGCAATGGCATATGATAGGCCAATAAGGAAATGGATCATGATCATAAGTACCTGTAATTTTCAGGCTATTATACAACAACATACCTCAAGATACTTTGATGACTCCAGGTTTCATGCTGATCAAAAAATGATTCTGTCAAGACTTCACTTTGTGTAAAGCTTTATTTTTTTTGTAAAACTTCGATTCCCTTTTGTGGCCCCAACCCATCCCAGGAGGTCATGATTTGAACAAATTTAAATCTACACTACTATAAATCACTTTTATTTGCAAGAACTTTATTTTTGCGCAATTACATGAGTCTGTCTGCTCGCAAAAAATACTATTCTCAAATATATTTGTATTGTTAAGGATTATATACAACAGAAACCACAGCTTGCGAAATTTTGTCTTGCCAATAAATATCAAATAGTTATCTTGTGAAAATAAGGTGTGGTGAAAATATAGTGATCTATAGTACATGTATGTAATAAAGCTTTCACATAAGTTTCATCTTGCTAAGTGATTCTTGAGAAGAAGATTTTATACAAGAAGGCATGGCTCTTCAGATGAACAAACTTGAATCCCTTCAACCAAAGGATACTATGTGGCAATATTGATTGAATCGTGAAAAAATTGCAGGCAACACAGGACAGACAGATGCCTGACACTTTTTGATCAGAAAAGCTCACTTGATCTTTCAGCTCAGGTGCACTAAAAATCATTAAAAATAATTTGAAAAGCTCTCATCACAAGTAATTTACAGGTTAAATATGAAAGCCCTATCTTTTATTTATTCATGAAGTTATGACCAATGTTCAAAGTTTTGTGACAGACAGACAATTGAGACTTAATGTCCTGTGTCTTAATCATGTCAAGTTTGCCCGGGTTATTTTGCTAATTGTACAAGGGCAACTCAAATGGGTTTTAGACAATGGCATTTTTGTCATTTTAAGAGGTCCTAAATATACATAATTAGAGTGTTCAATCAAGGGCAGGTAGGTGTAAAATTCTCTATATTTGGAAAGCAGTAAGGACAAAAAACATTGAATCATTTTATTGTATCACAGTTTAAAATCATTTTAACACTTAAATTTGGTTCCAAATTGACAGAATTCTTTCATAAATATACAAAAGTGAAATAAGGTTAAGATTTAAAAGCAACAGAAGCAACTGAAAAAGACCCAAAACTCTGCGTTAAGTGCAGTCATCATTTATTCTCTTAAGCATTTACCACAAGGATACCCCCATCCTCAACAAAACATTGTTAAATATATATATTGTCATGAACTTCTGTATTCTCTATTGAGAAGTTGAGAGAGGAGAGAGTAACAACGAGCCATTAACTTCTCCATAGAGAATATAACTTCTGCAATCTTGGCAGTGCCTTGTGGATATCCCCTTAAGTCATAACAATATATGCAATATTACCTTTGGGAGAGGTTAAGAAGAAGAAATTCAGGAATTTGACGTGAATGCTTTAATGAGTCATCTTAATTATTTTCATCTTATATCTACCTGTAATCTTGACAATATTTTTAATATATAAGCAGATAAAATAAGCCGCTTTATATGCTTTGTATTTTTTTACTTTTGGGTTTTAAAAAACAATCTATATAACTTCACATTTTATTGCCTGTTTATCATATCATTGTATTTAAATTTTGTTTTAATAAAATAATAATTAACCCTAAATTTGTGTTTCACCTTGCATAGCCCTTCCAGTTGTCAATAAATAGTTTAATCCCCTAACTGCTCCAAATTAAGTTACCTGTACCTGAACAGCTGTGTGTGTTCAAGTGAAAAGTGATTTCATGTGCTTAATTTATACCTGCATGCATTAAACAAACAAGGAGACTAATCTGTATTGAACAAACAAACCTATAATATTCTTATCTTGATTGACAAAATATGGCAGTCGTGAAACTCAGAAGAATCTGAAATTTTAAGCTGAAAATTTTCAAATCAAAATTATAGGGCAATTTTGTTTTCCCAATTGAGAAAGCAGGATAGAAGGGTAAAATCGTGAGGATCCTGCCTAAATTGGGAAAGTTAGCATGTATGCATAAATTGAAGTTTATTTCATCAAGTTCTGCATAAATACATATGTAACATTTAATAAGCTCTGAACACATTAAAAACACTGCAAGTAAATAAAGAACTTTTGTTAAGATGAAATTAAAAGAAATAGATTGCTTAAAGGACTTATCATATAATTTTCAAAAAATCATAATATTATGAACAAAAAGTCTGTGAGCCAGTGCTCACTAATAATACCCTAGCTCTGATGTGAATACACAAGTTCAGTTAGGGACAGTCACAATGATAATCAGGAAATTGACATCGGATTTGTACAAAAATGAATCCCACCATATTGCATGCCTAAACAAGGAATGTGCTAAAATTTCAAGCATCTGCAATGAGTAGTTGCTGAGAAAACTGTGACCAAAAATTTGTCATGTATGGTATGGACAGACACATGGATAAACAGGAAGTTGATGTCGGATTTGTACAAAAATGTCTCCCACCATATGGCATACCTAAACAAAGTGTGCTAAAAATTCAAGCATCTGCAATGAATAGTTGCTGAGAAAACTGCGACCAAAATTTGTTACGGACAGACACACAGCTGGATGGACAGACAGACACACAAGGGTAAAACAGTATACCCCCCTCTCCTTCGGAGCGGGGGTATAAAAATATTTATAACCTTGTCTATTAAAATACTGCGAAACTTCTATTAAGATTAAATTAAAAGAAATAGATTGCTTAAAGGACTTGTCACATAATTTTCAAAAAATCATAATATTATGAAAAATATTTATAACCTTGTCTATTAAAATACTGCGAATATAAAACGTTGTTGTGAACATGCATATTTTAAGCGATATTGAGAGTTGAAACTCAAATGAGCCAATATGCATATTTCAATTGGATTTCTGCAAAATACTGCTCTGACATCATAGGCGACAATACGTTCTATTTCCACTATGGAAGAGTTATACTTCTTAGTGCGCTCTTTTGTGAAAAAGTCGGAAAATGTACAAATCTCCATGATTTCAGGGACAAACTAACGTAAACATGTAAACAATATGTTGAATGTCGATGAACAAATCCTAAGAAAATGCAAATGAAATATTTTATTGTTGTGGACTTTATATACATCAAGAGTAGGAATGACAACGATATCAATTTATATCTATTGTTGATCGTATGTATCTATTTATCGTATGGTACATCTAAATACAATACACATGCCTCGGAAATGTCGTATTTTTTATTAATGGATGATAAATTTAAGGTTCTCGCTCTCTTACATATGTCTTTTAGTTCTTCTATTCTTTAATTGGAATGACAAATACATTTGACATTAAAAATTGGATTGGGATTGGCATGTTTTGTATTATCCGCAACGCCATGTTGTCCCTGTCAGACGAACAAACGCGCCTCTAATTTTGAAGAGTTCACTAATGGAAATAGAACATATTCAGTGATAGTCACATGCTATCTAATTAACTTTGATTTTTAATTCAGGGGTTTTCATATGAGTCAATAATTGTTTAATTACTGCAATATATCCACAGTAAAAACACAAAATTTATAAACTGTGATTATAAGGAACATAATACACTTTTAATTTCAAATAATAGAGAAATTAAAGTTTATAAGTAGTATAAACTGAGTTTATACCAGGGAAACAAACAAACACATTCACTTCCTTAATGAGGACCCTTAGTGGAAGATTTCCCCTTCGGGGGCCCCATAGATAGCCAATATTACGGAGGGAAAATACCCAGCCTCTTTCTGAAACCAACGCCATGGCTGGCAGCATCGTGATTCTGTAAATTTACAACAGCTATCCACCACCATCCCCGCCACTCTCCTAGAACTGTTTGCCATGCGGTTAACAATTTTGATTTGGATTATTCTTTTGGAAATTAAAGTGGACTATTCATAAGACTATTCATAAAACAAGATGTGTTTGTGAAACACTGATGCCCCCGTATGGTAGCTTTTGTTGAAGGTTAAAGTTTCTCAAATGCAAGTCAAAATCCAGGCCAAAAGATAAAAAATGTTGATACCCAAAGAAAGATCTTGTCTCGAGGAAAACACTTGTGAAATTTGAAAGACCTAGATACAACTGTTCAAAAGTTATGGCGAAGGTTAAAGTTTTTTAAATAAAAGTCAAATGTCAAGGTCAAGGTCAAAGTGGTTGGTATCCAAAGGAAGATCTTGTCACAAGGATTACATATGTGAAGTATGAAAGCCCTAGCACCAACCATTCAAAAGTTATGGCCAAGGTTAAAGTTTTTCAAAAGTAGGTCAAACTCCTAGGTCAAGGTCAAAGGGTCAAAGTGGTTGGTATCCAAAGGAAGGTCTTGTCACAAGGATTACATATGTGAAGTATGAAAGCCCTAGCATCAACCATTCAAAAGTTATGGCCAAGGTTAAAGTTTTTCAAAAGTAGGTCAAACTCCTAGGTCAAGGTCAAAAGGTCAAAGTCGTTGGTATTCAAAGGGAGGTCTTGTCACAAGGATTACATATGTGAAGTATGAAAGCCCTAGCTCCAACCATTCAAAAGTTATGGCCAAGGTTAAAGTTTTTCAAAAGTAGGTCAAACTCCTACGTCAAGGTCAAAAGGGTCAAAGTGGTTGATATCCAGAGGAAGGTCTTGTCACAAGAAATACACATGTGAAGTTTGAAGCCCTAAGCACCAACTGTTCAAAAGTTATGGCCAAGGTTAAAGTTTTTCAAAAGTAGGTCAAAGTCCAAGGTCAAGGTCAAAAGGTCAAACTTGTTGGTATCCAAAAGAAGGCCTTGTCACAAAGAATACACATGTGAAGTTTGAAACCCCAAGCTCCAACTGTTCAGAAGTTATGGCCAAGGTTAAAGTCTCATAAAATTTTGCAAAAGTGGGCCAAACTCCAAGGTCAAGGTCAAAAGGTCAAATATGATGGTACCCAAAGAAAGGTCTTGTCACAAGGAATACACATGTGAAATATGAAAGTCATAGCTCCAACCAATCAAAAGTTATGGGCAAGGTTAAAGTTGACAACAGACAGACAAACAAACAGACAAACAAACAGATAAACAGACAAACAGACAGACAGGACAAAAACAATATACCCCCGGGATCTTTCGATCCGGGGGCATAAAAATTATAGTAACATTTTTATTTCTTATCCCCAAGATTTAAGAGGACTATTCATAAAACTAATCATAAAAAATTATAGTAACATTTTTATTTCTTATCCCCAAGATTTAAGGGAATTTTAGTTTGCATATGTATTAAGTAGTTGCTTATATGTATTAAGTAGCAAATTTGTGTTTTCTGTGTATCATGATATACCAGCATAATATATACCATAATATTTGTTATAAAAATCCAATTCAGTTTGGTTTTAATTGTTTGAACTTAAATTTATTTAAAACCACCCTTTTTAAAGTGTATTTTAACCTCAATATCTCAAATCATGCCATTGAATTTGAGATAATAAAAGTTGACTGTCATACAATTATGGTCTGTCAAGAGACAGGCAAATAAAAATTGGTAAGGATATAATAGGATGCAATAAAATATAACTTACATTTAACATACAGCTTGCTAAGACACATGGCTGTATTTCCATTATCATCAGCAGCCACAAACAATAGGCTGTAATCACCCCAAGTGAAGGAGCTGTCTGAAATATGAAGTTTGATTCTTTAAGGAAACTACAATTCCTCCTCTAAAAAAAATTGAATATCTAAATTCTAAAGTTTGTCTTTACTGAAGGTGGCACTGATCATATTTAGAGGTGGAACAAGCAGAAATACAACATAGTTATGTAAAGGCACATAAATCATATATAAAAATATTTATGATTAATTTGAAACCACCTTGTTTAAAGTTAATCTAGAAGGTAAGAGCTATACCAAAGTAGCTTCAGTAGGTTACCAGTACTTCATAATAAAACAATGGGCTCAATTTCAGTTTTAAACAAGTTAAATTGATGCAAAGGCAAATCTGTCACAAAAAGCTTTAATGTTGAACACTTTAAAGTATTTCAACAATATTAAAAGTAGAAAATGTGTGCGATACATTTTTATTGCAAAACTGAGATGCAGCTTCTTTCCTGTGAATTTTTTAAATATTTCAAATTTTCAGTGAATTGTTAAACATTAATCAAAATAAATTAATTCATGGATATAAAAATTTGAGATAATATACAGAAGGGAAAAAAAATGCAGGGCAAACATAACATGCAAAACATTTTTGACTGCATGACTGAAAATTATGATTCTTCAGAAGATTCTTAAAGATTCCCATATCAAATTATGATCTTTTGGGACCTTAACCCAACTCTGGGGTCCATAAAGTTATGAAACTTGAATCTCTATTATGTCAGGAAGCTTTCATATGTTTCATGTTTTTTGGTCCAGTGATTCTTGAGAAGATTTTTAAAAGTTTTCACTTAATTTTCACTAATTCTAAATTAACTCCTTTTGAAAGATGATGTGGCCATACATTTGAACAAAATTGAATCCTGTTTACTCAAAGATGCTTCCTGACAAGTTTGAGAGAAATTGGTAGAGTGGTTCTGCAGAGGAGCAAAAATGTTAAAAGTTACAGACAGAGGCATTGACAGACAGAAGGTCATACAAAATGTGATCAGAAAAACTTAGTTAAGCTTTTAGCTCAGGTGAGTTAAAAAGAATGAGGCTTCAAGGGAAACTAACCTCTCACATGCGAGATCATGGACTGACTTTCATTGAAATCCTGAAACATAGAGCTAATAGCTGGCAGTTGATAGCTAAAGACTCTACTGCTAGAGACTTGCTCATGGTCGACAGGGCAGGCTTTTATCTTTGGTTTTATCTTATCTGCAAAAATATTGCAAATAATTGTCAAAAAAAAAATCTATCAAAGTGTAATCAATAAGTACTGATATACATAAATTTGAAATGAGGAACAGCAAAGCCATCATTATAATAATTCAATGTAAAGAAAAATGTTACATAGAATTGGTTCAGAAAAACAACTTTGGGCCAAACACATTATACATACCTAATGGTGAGCAAGCAGGAACATCACAGACTGCATCATTTTTAATCTGTGTCATGACCTTCTTCATAGCTCCCTTGTTCATCTTGTAATTGTACCAACCATGAATGAGAGTAGCTCCTGCAGGTTTATGATTCCTGTTACTTGAAAGCTGTAACATGTCGAGGTTCGTTATACTGCTATTCCAGAACTTTACCTGTGATAGCCTCCCTCCAAATCTCTTCCCAATTTCCACTTCAAACCTTATTTAAAAGAACAAGAAGGCAATGAGCCGCAGTGCTCATCCACAGGTACTTGACATTTTAAATCTTTTCTTTATAATTAAAAAAAATTCTATACTATAATAAAAGGTTCATCACAGTCACCATCTTGAATTTTTCAGTTCAACCCCTACTTCGCCTCAATTTTTTTTTTGTCTGGAGTGTGTTCAAAATTAATGGGCATAGCAATATGCGTCAAGTGTTTACTCTAAATAATGTCTCAATTATCATAGAATTTAACTGGAATCACATAACATTCATTCTATTTATTAAATATTGCTCCAAACTTGGTCTACTGCTGTAAATCTTGAAAATTGAGGCCAGGAGTACTAGTTTATGTAATTTTGTCACAATCTGGGATATAGCCTTCTTCTGATTGGTCTACATATTAATATTATGAATATTAAAACTGGTCTATAATGCTGCATGATATGGGTGAAACTGTTTCACTATTACATTACAACACTAATAATTATTGAACATATTGACACACGTATATTTACTAATTGTTGATCTCCAACTGTATACAAATAAATAGATTGATTTTTTTCCCCTATATATACTAGAAATTAAATTTTGGCATCCTAGCTACTGTTGCCCTATTCACATAAAGAGTTCAATTCGAATAAACGTAGGTCACTGCAAATAAAAAAAATTTGAACCATGTTCACACAGAGAACATAATGCAAATTTTAATTTGAATTAATTTACTGCGAATCAAATTACTTCCTAGTTATAGGCAAGATTAAAGTTTTTGCAGACAAGCAGACAGACAGACAGGGCAAAAACTATATGCCCCTGAATCTTTATCATATGGGAGCATAAAAATAAGAAAGAAAAGAATATGTCTAAAATTACAGGGATGCATGCACACTTATCAAATAATGCATCCTGAGCAAAATTAATGCCCAATTTACACGGGATGCAGGCCAAAATGAATCAATGACTCATAAAGGCAGCTTTTATTATCTCCCTTTCAAGAGCGCTTTGTCATTCATTTGAATTAACTTTAAGAAGTCAAAAAGGAGAAAAGTTAACAGAGATACAGATGAGAGGTGATTAAAAAGAAAGAAAGTGAATGACAAATTTTTTTTTTGTCAGCTAAAAGCTTTTTATCCCCTTAAGCTCAATTTTTATCGGAGTTTGAAACCACAGGCACTTGGGGTATGGACCACCCCCCTTCCAATTTTTTTTTTTAAATCTGGGGTCGAGTCACCTTTTACCTATTTTTGTATTCTAATATGCGCTATATGTTATCAATAATGTAACTCTTTTGTCTCTATAAGCTGGTTTTTAAATATATCCTTTTCAACTGATACATAAAAAGAGAGAAGGCTTTCAACTCTTTTCTCGTCGTCTGCCTCACCTCGCTTAAACTGATTATTTATCTTAAGCATAAGAACACATGGAATATGCATATGTCAATAAATTTGCTACACATTCTTCTTCCTTTTCATATTTCCATTTATTTTTATGTGCCTCCAATTTGTAAATATTTTGATTAAATCACCACATCTAGGGTAAATTTTGTTGATGTGCACCAGCTGATTTAAACCCCCAGATTTAAAAAGAAAAAAAAATGGAAAGGGGGGGGGGTTCCATACCCCAAGTGCCTGTGTTTGAAACATATCATACAAAGTAAATACACTTAATCTTATTATTAAACAGCAATTTCTTGAACTGACAAGAAACTCACAAAGAAAATCTTACACTTTTGGCAGTTTGAAGGCAACAGAGCTGTCGTGAGGAAGAAGTAGCCCTTTCACAGTGATTTCTGTCTTTCCATTTCTATTCCATGACACAGCAATAAAATTCCAATCACCATCATCTATTCTTTCAGGATTTCCATAGTACTCAAATCTTACAGAATGAGAGCTTGTTTTGTTCATGAAGGTGATGGTGTTATTCTTGATTTCTATGAAATCTCTGAAAATTAATTATGTCACAAAAATTAAGCAGTCAAATACTGTACATGTCAACCAAAATTTAGAGCATACAATATATTAAAAAAAATCAACCCCTTTACTTAAGCATGTGCTTGTTGTGAAATAAAGTCATAATAGGTATTATCAGAAGTCTCTGACAAACTGTAGCTCTTCAGGTCTGTACTTATTAAAAGCATATATATCCCCTCATTATGGCAAATCTAGAATATGTTATTTTGGGATCAATTGTCTGATTAACCCTGACTATATTGGGTCATTGATGATTAAAAAATGTTACTTTAGCTTTTCTTGCACTGTAGCACATACATGTATCACATTTCAGTTACCCTATTATTTGTATTTGGCTGAATATAATAGCACTCCTAGAAAATGTTTTTGTGAGAAAGGGGTTACACCACAATAGGATTTTGATAGTTTTTTCTTTCAGGTGAAACAGGGCTATCATACAAACATACCGTAGTATTACCTAGAGATATGGGCAATTTCTTGTAGTTTATTGCTGTATTTATTAATGTTGGAACGTAGGCTTGTTGAAAATGTTATATTTATAATCTGTTGATAATGATAATCTGTTGTTAAATGATATTAAAAAGAAGTTACAATTAATTTGAGCTGCATATTCATCATCTTCATGTAGGGCACATTGACGATGTTATTTATAGACGTTCACGCATTCCTTTGCCACGTGCTTGCGTAATCATAGTACATATGTACCTAATCAGATACTCAGTTAGAAAAAAATAATAATTGAGCAATTTTATAATGAAATACGATAAATCAACATTTATTCTGGGTTTTAAATAAAGCGGTGAAAATTCAACATAAACACTCCACTATACCACTGCATACTATATGTCCCAATCGAAGCCAATGTTGTGAACATGTGCACTTGTCACTTGATCTCAACACCCCTCCATGCAAATAGTCTTCTAAGCATTGTTTTTTTTACAGTTAGAGCACTGGTTATCTACTTCCCTTATTAATGGCTTTGATCGTTTTTCTTTGTTAAAATTCAGGGGTCAATATTTAGCCTTCATACATTATCTTTCGTATGAACTTGTGTTAATTACGACACATTAAACAGTTAAACGCTCGTTAAATGCAATTTTACTTTAATTATCTTATATTTATCGACCTCTTGTTAAATTAATTAAGTCAAGAGTTTAAAAAGGAAATATGAAGTCTGTTAAAACTCCATTGTTATAATTACTTGTGCGCTGTAGAAAATAAGATATCTGCGAAGATTAATTACCTCGATGTATAAAGACATGATTTATACCGTGTCAATCTGTTCAAACTAAAATTCAATTACACCAAATATATATACGCTTAATATATTATATTCAAATTTTACCACTCTTTTTAAAGACAACATTGCCGTTAGCTTGAAAAATGATTTATAATGCAAAATTTAATTATTTCTATGAATAATACCACCATGCTTAAAATCAGGAGTACCGTAAGCTTAAAAAATAAAGTCCACATATGAAAAAATACCGTTCTTAAATTTTCAATACATTATTTCCACAAAGATTATAAGTTAAAATTACCGCGATGTAAAAAAGACAACATTACTGCCTGGTCAATTTTTTGACAGTGTATAATACAACCGAACTGCGTTTCCCCCCAAATTTTCAAGCCAAAAAAGGGGGGGGTGTATTTTACACCAATGCGTATTATATTCAGCCAAATACGGTAATTGTAATAATTAATACTGGGGTATTTTCAGAAACATTATGCAGAATTTGATGATTCTTTGACCAAGCTAGAATTCTCTTTCAATCTTGCCTCATCACACACTAAAAAATTGACCTGCCAACCCCTTTTAACATACAAGTGACTAGTAAACCCAGGGGTAAGGGGCCTAGCAGCAGGCCCAGATCATGCTGATGAGAAGACTTCAATCACCAAAGATAAATAGTAGTTCAATTCTAGGTGGATCGATCTGCTTAATAAACGGGACACCATAACAGTATATCTATCGACGAGGTGCATAAATTCATCAGTGGTGCTTATAACAATACAAAAAGTCTAAAGAGAAGATATCCCACAAGATTGACATTAATGTACAAGCACTATGAGAACACATTTCTCTGCCATTGTATGAAACAAAAATTGTAATCTTTCAAACGAGTTAAAAAAATTAAAACATCAGTATATATAATAGGGTGGGATGGTATACCTATATCCTGATACATATCTATAATCTCTCCAAGATACTCTTCACAGTACAAATGATGCAATAATAAATACAAAATAAAACATGCTCCCACAGAATAGGCAACATGGATCCCTTCTGTACCAAAACTAAAACTAAAGCTAGGTTTTAAGAAGAAAAAGAAGCATTTTGTAAATAAAAAAAAAATTACAGACAAATACATAGATTAACTCCTTACCATTCAATGAACTCTTTTGATTAGTACAGCTGATAATCACACAGAAAATACAAAAAAAAGGTTTACTACACCTGATTCTTAACAATACAGCATCTTCAGTTTCATCTTGTCCTTTGTTGAACTTCACCCACATCATAAAGGACAAATCAGAATTTTCTGGGTCACCAGGTATCACAGCTGTGGTAGAGGCCCCCTCCTCTCCGATTAGAGTATCAAAATAGATATCAAAATCATCTGAGGGAACTAAAATACATGTAATAAGAAATAATTAAAATATAAATCAGTAATATATTTACCATATAAGTAAATAATAAAACAAATAAAATGAAAGTACTTATTGTATTATATATTCTAAAAAAAAAATTCTTAAATAATTCTCTTATTCACTTGACCTTTAAAATACATTATTTACAGGGATTAATAACCATAGGTGAATAGCAGAGGGAAATAACTTCTCTTAGTATAATAAAAAAAAAGCCCTGTCCAACATCAGAACACTTGAACAAGTGGTCCAGAATTTCAAAAATTTGGTAAAAATGCCCTAAGACTTGCTTATTTCAACTTTGTACTCTGTTTACCCCCTAGATTCCAGAAGAGAAGATTTTCAAATAAATAATGCATTTAGAAAATTTTCAAAGAAATAATGCATTTTCACTTTATAATCAATACAGCCCCACCCTAAAACCAGAACCCCTGACCCAGGGGCCATGAAATTCACAATTTTAGAAGAGGCACCATTGCTTATCATAATTTTGAACTTGTTTATTTGCTTAATACCCAGGAGAAGAGAAGGTTTTCAAAGAAATAATGCATTTTCACTATATAATTGATACAGCCCCCTCCCCCAAACACCACAGCCTCTGATCCTGGGCCACAAATTGTGCAAGTTTTAAAGAAGCACCCTTGCTCATCACAACTTTGCACTTAGTTTATCTATGAAATCCCTAGGATCAGAGAAAAAAATCAAGAGAATTAATGCATTTTTACTATTTAATCATTAGAGCCCTGCTCTAACACCAGAAATGACCCAGGGGCGATGAAATTCACAAATTGGAAGAGACACCCTTGCTCATAATAACATGACTGTCAATACTCAGTGAGGATGGAGCATTTGAATTTGTAAGATGTAAACTACACAATGTATTACTGTAGATTCCTTATTTTACGCGAGTACTTATTATCGCGAAATGACCCAAGGGCGTCAAATCGCGAGAATAATAATTCGCGAATGGCTGATTTATCTAGAGATTTTACATACATTAAAGCACCATTAAAGCGAGTAATTTTATTTCGCGAGCAGTGCTTCTCGTGTAATTACGCGATAATTTATTCCTCGCGTATATTTAGGAATCTACAGTATTCATACATAACATACTTTTACAAACTTTATTTTCTGTGAGAACCTTTCCCTCTGGACAGTAACAACCAATCTCCTCATTGCACATTGCAACAGATCCGCAACTCAACGTTGAACATCGGGTCAACTTTGTTTGACAAGTCCCTCCAGAGAAACCTATAAATAAAAAAGAAAGAACACAAGAGAAATGTTTTACATGTATTTTCAATTTTTTTCCCTTAAGATATTTAGAAACAACAACTTCGTAGAAAAATCTCCTTGCATTTGCAATGAAGCATAATGCATGTAACTTATTATTTCAACAAAATAAAAATTAAATTAAAAAAAATCTTAAGTAGACTTTATATGAGAATTTAACTTAGTACCGTAAGTTTTGGAAGATAAGACGATACTTTTTTTCTCACAACCGCTGGGGTCGTCCTATTTAACGAATCGACCTATCTAAGGCTCAAGTTTATGAAAAATGCCTCAAATCAGTAAAATTTACGTCAATTTTAAAGCAAATCTGTGCCATTTTCGTATTTTTTAAAATTATTTTACCGAGAAAAAATAATAAACAATAAAGAATTAAATATTTATTCTATTGATTTCTTACAAAATAAGTTCCATTAAATATCCGTCGATGTACAAAAAAAACTTATTACCGGTATATCATCTAGTAATTAATGTCTCAAAGTATATTTACAACATGCTGCGTCCATCTTGTGAAGTTGGAAGTCGCAATCGTTTACTAAAAAGAAAACTGCCGCCGTATCAAAATTTAAAATATGGAAGAGTTTTCACAATCGCAACTGTAATCTTTTTTTACCATTTATTTGTAACGATTAATTGAAATAGTATGCCTAAATATTTGTTCATTGTCTTGTGATATTTATTTAAATGTAAAATGCGTGAAGTAAATTGTTGCCAGTAAATTCCTAAATTTATTTACCAAATATACCGCTAGTAATAACTACTTTGTTTTATATCTTAATTAATTATAATAAAATGAACTTATCTTGAATATACTATAAATAATTATACGTTTTTGGAAGTTATAAATTCATTTATTCACGATACGTTATTTTTTATTCACAATTTTTTTTTTGTTTTGTTTTACAAAATAAATAAATATTTTTTAAATGATAAAAAAGCTTCCTCGTACCCAAGGGGTACACTGAATTATACAAAGATTGGCTTCTAATAGAGTTTTAATTGTCTGACAGATAAAGGGATATACACTGTGTACACAAAGGTGTTAACACCTGTGTTGGTTAAAACACCTGCGTGGCATGATTAACAGATCCACGTGCCGTTACAGGGGTATTAGTACTATAAATCATTGAACAAACAAAACTGTGAAATTCCTGATGACTGTTAAATTGCGAATGTACTCTCATTTAAATTAATTTTTTTACAACAATATCTAATGCAAAATTATAGCATGTTAATATGATTAATTTCATTTGTGCACTGTTACACGTAATAATCATTTGCGTGTTTTAGCAAATCCCTGGACAAGAAAATATAAAAATGGCGGTCATCGAAGTTAATTTTTTACCCCGGTAAATAATGTCGAAATAAAAGAATGTGTCCACGATGTTCTAAAATGGAAATGATTATTGTTTGATTTCGGGTATTTCCCTAATTATAGCTGTTTTATACTACCGTATTTATGTGTTTAACGACAGAGTCAAACTACGACGGCACTGAACAGGCAAGTTGGAGAAAATACGTTATATCACAATTCAAGGAAGTTTTAACTACGTTTGTATAAAACACTATTAAAATACTGTACTCATAAAAATACTAGTTTATTTTCTCAATACATTAATATCACGGGTTAAGTTAAAGAGGTTTAAATGTTCCGATACGTAGTATCTACGTAAGAATCTCTAGAAATCGATAAACAAAGCCTCGTCCTATCTTCTGAATTCGTCCTATCTAAGGATTTTTTAAAAATTACGGCTGAAAATGAGCCTTTCGACCTATACACCCCATCGACATATACCCCAAAACTTACGGTATTCTTTTGCAAAAATCAATAAGGGTGTTGATTAGAGCTGGGTATCGCCTGGGAATTTCGAATTGCGATATTTTTTACTGTATTGCAATACTTTAAATGACAGTTAAAATGCTCTTTTTCTTAGTTTATTAACCTTCATCTATAAGCAGAGTGTGTTACAAAAAAGTTCTTGTTGATTTCACTACAGTTTTGGAACGAAATGCAACCATACAACAGCAACATTACTGTTTGGTACTGTTTGGCACAATTGAAAATGTTACCGACATATTTTAAAAATTTCATATTTTACTTCAGAAATCTAAAGCCCAAGCAGTTTGCCGGTATATTGGTACTGGAAAACGTATCACAATACGATATTTTTTGTTAACGAATCGCAATATACCGGAATATTGATATTATTGCGCAGCCCTAGTGTTGATGATAGTTGGAATTAAGCATCACTGCATATAGAGAAATATTGCCCGTTATTTTATTTTTGTCCCTTTTAGCCTCTTCTGTGTGTATGTATGTTTCAAGTAAATAAAACTATCAAACATTTTTTACTGTTTGAATAGAACAATTTGCCATAATAATACTACGCAAAAAGTTCTCTAGTTTTTTATTAATATCTTAGAAGACTTTATGATAATGTTTTACAAGTTTTACAAAGAATGCATTGTAGGAAAAACATTGAAAGTATTTTTCTACAAAAATGGTTACAATTTGTTCAGTAAGCATGCAAGCATTTGGGGGTGGGGGTGGTAATTGTCAACATACCCGAGGGTGGGGGTGGGGGTGGTAATTGTCAACATACCTGAAAGTACTTTGTCAAGATAAAATGGGGGATGGTCTGGGGTGGATTGGTTTGGGGTGTTAGGTTGATAATATTATATAAATGTATTTACCATAGGGTACCAAATAGTGTGCATGCATGCTGCGCGTGTGTGTGTGCTGGAGCAGAGGTACAAGCCTCTCATAAAAATTTCCATACTAAATCAAGAGCAAAACATTACATCTCATCAACAAAAATACATAGTTTCTTACCAGTTTGACATGCACAATTAAAGCCTCCAGCTGGTAGATTTGTACAAGTTCCTCCTGTATTGGGCATGCCCTGATACAAACAATTTGTTGTTCCTGTGCAAAAGTCTTTCAGCAACTGACAGGAATCTCCAGAATAGTCTAAAACAATGAAATATGCAATATATCATAAAACACTTTGACATCGTTAAAATATTTTTGATTACTGACATACCATATATACTCACCTACAAGTCGGATTTTTGGGAATTGAATATTGGTCCCAAATTCTATATCCGACTTACAGGCAAGTCATTGAAAAAAACTAGCATTTTTCTGGACAACCAAATGTAGTATAATATAAACATTTCCAACGATTATCGTTGAATAAATTCTGGATATAGTATATCATTTATGTATGCTAAGATTATACATAAAGTACAAGTATTTATATATTTTAGTTTATTGTATTGTAGTTTATTTTTACCTTAAGTGTGAATTCCTTATTTGTATAATGACTTAGAATTAAATAGTTGCGTCATTTCTAAAAATATTAATTAAAACTAGGTTAACACATCAGAGCATTGATTTGAAATTGTCAACCAAATCCAGCAAAAATTTGTACCGACTTATAAGCCGGTCAATAGCAAATCCTCTACCAAAATTACCTCAAAAAATACAACCGACTTATAGGTGGACCGACTTACAGGCGAGTATATACGGTACATAAACTCTTCAACGATGCTCATGAAACAATATGTATCAACTCTGTTTTGATCTTATTACAATTTGTATTCCTACTTACTATTCTGACATGAACATTTTGCTGTTCCATTGGCATTTTGACACGTGCCCATTGTTGTACATGGGGAAATAACATTACACACATCTGGAATATTTTCACATGTATCACCTCTTGTACCAGCACTGCATCTGTAACCCAAAAATAGGACACTTTTAATTTTTGTATGCACAAGACGATCAAACTTAAGGTATTATTTTTTTTAATGCAGCAGCACTCTAGATCAAGACATATATTCTGGGTCTTAAATTCATTAATTTCTTTATATACTATTATTTTCACTTGTAAATTTTTTAGCTTCCAATCTTAGCCACACATGGATATCTTAAATGCATACTACATGTAGATGAGGATGTTTCAACATTATTGTGACAAATGTAATGCTGCTTTTCTTGACAATACAACATTATACATTCCTCTGTCAAAATTTGAACCTAACTGTTCTACCACAATTTTCATCTCAGTGGACAAAAGTTTTGTCAATTCTTGACTAGTGAAAAGGGACAAGAATTCTAAATGAAAACGGATTTCTCGAATACCATGGATATGTCAAAGTCATTTTGAAGTCCCAACTACTTATTCCTTAAAGCTGAACACGGCATACACCATTTTCGATATTATTATCTACGATATCAGCACCGGGGTATACTCTTTGCATTCGTTACACCTGACTGCTTTATTGTCATGGGTATCGGCGTGGAATGGCGACCCGTGTTCATGCTGGTTATCTTGCATTATCTTGTTAACAATTTATTGCAGTTATGTATATTTGTGTTTGTTTATATACTGCACTGACCTGTGCAACTGTTGTACGTCTCTTTGGTACCTTACTCTCCTGCATCAGAAGTACACAGTTATTTTTGTCGCTACTGAGTGCTGTATAGCATATAGACCAGTGACAATTGATTACACTGAACAGTGACTAAGTGAGCGGCTCCATATATAGGAGCCCTCAGATAAAGCAAGAGTCCAGTCTAATATGGCGGACAGATTCTTTTTACGAAGCGTGTTCAGCTTTAAGTATTTTACCCTGGATATCTCAAATCCTTGGTTATTTCGAAGTATTTTCGAAGTATTTTCTCGGTCCCTTCGAGTTTGAGATAACGAGGTTTGACTGTATAATTTTATCTGACATACAAAGGGTTTTTTGAAAGTAGATAAAAAAGGGGGGTTAAGTTTTCAAACTTTAGGAGCTTTAAGTCTTCCTTAATTTCTTTTCTCCAATTTAATCAAATTGTCAATTAAATTTTCCCAATTTAAAAAAAAGGCATTTCCCAAAAAAGGCTGATAAATCCCTGAAATGTGAGCTTTGTTTCTTAAATAAATTCTCGATAAATGCCCGAATAGTAAATGTAACCATGACAGTCTGTGACTATACTTGCCTGCAGTACTTATCATCTATCAAGTTGTAACAATCACCACTCTGACACTTGGTAGAGGTAGTCTGGCAGTAGTCAATCTGTTGGTCACAGTTTTTACCCTGCCAGCCCTCAGTACAGTTACAATGATAGTCATTCAGCCTATCAGTACAGGTGGCTCCATGTTTACAAGGAAAACTGGCACACTCATCAATCTCTTCCTTTTTTCACATTGAAAAATACATAAATATAATGGAATTTTTTAACATGGCAATTCATGTACCATATCACTGATAATTACTAAACAATTTTCTGTTAACATACCAGGTAGTTTGACATTTTTCAAATAATCACAATAATCAAAACTTTTGTTTCCCCTTTAATTATATAAAGTATAAAATCTGCATATTTTTAGAAAAAATAAATAGTTGACTGATCAAGATATGACAAAAACTGATAGTAATAGGCCACTTGATTAAGTCAGTGACATATATACCATAAGTAGAGTTTACCTAGCTAGCTAGCTTCTTAAACTTTGTAGATGATAAGTAGTGAGTAAATTTCTGATAATGCAACAGATTATTTAAAAATTAAGAATGCATGAGTATATATATATATATATATATATATATATATATATATGCATCCCTCAAAAGCATATATGGGCAGTGATAAATTTAGGAAATTTATGACCTAGCTAGCTAGCTTCTTAAACTTTGTAGATGTTTAGTATTGAGTAAATTTCTGATAATGTTTGTACAATGTACTCTTACTGTACAGTTTTGGCCTGTATATCCTGCCATACACAGACATTCACACTCATTGATTTTATCTACAGTTCCCCGTGTAGTTGTCATGTTACAGGATCCTGGACAGTCATTCTGGTTCATGTTGCAGTTTTTCCCTTAAAGTTAGAAAAGTCTCAATGGGTAGGAATAAAAATATTTAAGATTCCCTTAAAGAGATAAGATAAGTATCAAACAACCAGAGGACCATTGGCCACTACACCTCTTGAGTCACCTTGGCCTTATTTTTCTTCTTAGCAGGTTTTTAAAGATATTTTTTTTTAAACTTTACATTATATAAATATCCTAATATGGCCTTATTGTTACAGAAAAGAAGATTTTTACCTACATACATGAATTATTCAAAATTTGATCCCAGATGTTAACCCAGTTGCAATCAGAGAGTCCACATTCTAAACATACTTGAATTCACAAGATATTTGGAATGGTTTGCATGTCAATATGATTCATTGTTACAGTGGCCCTTTTTCTCTTGAAAACATTTTTTTACCTAGTATATATTCCCTATTTTAGTTCCAACTTTGACCCTAGTGATCTTGATTTGAACAAATATCTGGACTACCTGTGGAAGCTTGCATGTTAAAATGGATAATCATGGAGCTATTGTGTGTTTGTTTGTAAGTTGTTTAACGTCCCTCTCAAGAATTTTTCACTCATATGGAGACACCAGTCCACTTGCCGGTGGAGGGCTGCAAATTTATATCTATATTCGGCACTCATGGCCATTGAGCAGTGAGGGATCTTTTTCATGCCAACATCTACTGCGACACAGGACCTCGGTTTATATGATCTCATCAGAGGGCCTGGTCTCCATGTCCTGCAGTGGATTCAAACTCGCGACGTAAAGATCAGCTCCTTACTCCACGACTCTACAGCAGATGCTCTAACCACTGTGCCATGCGGGCAACTAGAGCTATTGTTCTACATAAAGCTATTATAAATATGTAGTAACAAAAATGTTCTTGTAGATTTGACTACAGTTTTGCAACGAAATGCAACCATACAACAGCAACCTTACTGTTTGACACGATTGAAAACGATAACTTATGATATCGTAAATTTCAAAACTTTTTTGTGTGTGCAAAGTCCAGACCATTTAATAACACAAATTTTTGTTGTTAAAAAGCTCATTTTAAATGACTAATCATGGCCCCTGTAGTTCTTGAGAAGAGGATTTATAAAGACTTTCCCCTATATATCTCAGAGTCCATATGAAATCTTCGATTTTGTGGCCCCAAACCCTAAGCAAGGGTTCATGATTTGTTTGAACAATTTCAAATCTACATTTTTATTGAGAAAGCTTTCCTTTAAATTTTTGTCCTTCCTGACTCAATGGTTCTTGAGAAGAATTTTCAAAGATGTCACCAAATTTTTACTAGTTTTTACTAATTTTGACGACAATGTGGTCTTCATTTAAATATTCTGAACCCTCTTTACCCAAGAATATTTTATGGCAAGTTTGACTGAAATTAGCCCAGTGGTTCAAGAGAAGTTGAAAATTTGGAAAGTTCACAGTTGAACAGAGATACAGATATGCATAGGACAATTATTGCTGATCAGAAAAGCGAACTTCTTATAGTTCAGGTAAGCTAATGATACAGATTCACTGTATTGCTACATTCATACATTTTAACTTGCTGTCATGAAAAAGAAGGAGATTCAGACCTCAAAAGAGGTAGCATTGTGCGCTAAGAGTGCAAGGATAAACCGTTTGACGGTATATCGCGGTATATTTTTCCACGGTTTAATTCACGATATACAGAACTGATACCGCTGTTCGGTTCAATCAGTCCAGAATTATCCAAATCGTCCGTTTTGTTTCCTTTTTTGTTTACAATTTCAAAATGGCTTCCATGCAAAACGTGAGGTCGACATAACGCATTAACAGGAGTTAAACTCATCTCCAGCATCTTACAGACCTCAGATTTAACACGGAGAAGGACTTTATGTGATTAAAAGTTATAGATGTTAAGACAAATGTTAAACCCTTTAGATCTAAACATATTCTTTGGTAATACACGATATCTCATCAAGCGTGTATTTCAATGAAAATTCGCTGACTTGTTGACTAAAACGTGTTAACACGAGAAATGTGACAACTGGTTTTCTACGTAAATAAAAGGAATTAAAGAATGAATGTCTTCTTTTTTCATTCCAATTTAAAATGAAGATTATTAGGAAAGGTCCCCGTAGTTCCCTGTAAATGTTCATCACTAGTTTAGAATATTGTCACAACTCAAAGATCTACCTATCAATCTAGTTCAAGTTAACAAAATGATATTTTAATATTATCAAATATATGAACATTTGATATAACCCTGTCAAGTTTTAAAAAATATTATGACAAACTTGAAAGACTTTTTAACCTTGTCATGTATCGTGATACGTATCATATCGTGCACTGAATACCAATTGATACGTATCGTATTATGAGGTTAGTGTATCGTTGCACCCCTACTGTGCGCATTGTTTTACGCATCAATTTAAGAAAATGTTTTTGTAAATATTGCCTATACAGAACACTGCAATAATTAAACTCAAATATCAACTGCAATGATGACAAAAACACCTTCAATATAAATTATTTATGTTATATATTCTCAATTAAATGTTAAATATACGTCATTTGATTATCTGATTCGATTAAATGGCTGCTTAATTTAGCCTTTTGAAGAGTGATCTTTGTTGATATAACCTGGAATCAATAATTCTGAAAGTTAATTCAGTTGAAAAATACAGCAAATGATGACATTATTTAGCCTAATTCAGATCTAAATCTAGTTCTTATCTTTCATTAAAAAAATTGGATTTCCTGCGATGACGGAAAATGAAAGCAGAGATGCAATAAAAGTATTATAAATGAAAGATGATTCCCTTTTTCATTTTACTGAACAATGTCAAAAGTTTTCATCCACTTCTAGAATACTATATCTCCCTTTTTCTTGGAGGGGATGTCGATGAAATTTA